TTGAGTATACGAGTTTATTCTGATATTCGTTATAAAAACCATATTGTATACATACAAATGTAAATGAAATTATATTTATTTATAACTGTGCATTATCTATAGTGAATGCGTTGTGTTATCTTACAATTTTGTAAATAAATTGATGGTCTTTTACGTGACATTACATTGAAATTTCTTACAAAAAAAAATGTAGCCCAAATTTAATATTTTTTAATACGGAAACATCTATACCTGTAATTTTGGTTTTATTGAACTTTAAGATTGAATTTAAAATTTACAATTTGTAGATTCGGTATAACATATACAATACTTACATCCATATGTACATATATATACTCATGTATCTGAGTATTATATATGTACATATTTATGTGTGTCTGCACGATGGTTATATTCAGTGGAAAATTGTTACAATAAATCTATAATCAAATGCGAAATTATCATAATCGCAACTAATAAAATATTTTATATAAGATTGTGTAATTTTATTAAGGTGATTTTGTTTTTTTTTCTTTCAATGTTTTTATTTTCTTTAATCATTCGTTTTTATATATTAATTCGAGTCATAAATTTTAAATTACGTGCAATACTTTTTGTTTACACATGAAAAATTTTTTAGTAAACATGTTTTTCTTGTTTAGAAAACAATAGACAAAAATAAAAAGATTATTTAGATTTTAGATGATAGCCATCGCGTATATAAAAGCACACATATGTACATCGCATATAAACTACTCACTTATATGTATATCGAATGAATATGCGTTGTATGCAAATATATCCGTTGTTTTATTGTATATATATATAGATAATGATGTGTTCTCTTTAAATACAAAGAGAAATTATAAAGTGAAGAAAAATAAAACTGCCACGTGACGAATACTCTTGATATCATCCCACAAAAATCAAACAGAAAACCATCAACACATTTTCATAAAAATAAATCTATACGCCATACGTTTTTCTTTTTTTTTTGTCTTTTTTTATCTTAAAACAAGAATTTATATGATGCAAAATAATATTATGTTTGTTTTGTTGTTGTATGGGTACATCTACTTTCATTGTACAATTTTAAAATTTAAATGATTTATGTAAGTAGGTACTTATTAATAGTAAGCTGTTACATGGCAGGATGTTCACTTTAACATTTTTACATTATTCATATTATAAATATGGTGAAAATGTATAGTAAGACAAGTACCAAAGTAAAGTTCTTTTTTGTTTTTGAATATTAAATTTAAAAAAATTTTCATTTATTTATGAAAAATTAAATTATGAAAAAATGCAAGAACTCGGAATATTAAAAATATTTAAATATTTTTATTTTTTAACCCAGTTAGGAAATTTCTTATAATATTACTATACAGGGTGTCCGAGACTCAACTGTACTTCCGTAGTAAGGTGATAGAATGGCTCCATACGTACCTTATGACATTTTGCTTTTCGGGTCCTTCTTCTCAAGGTGTGTAGGCATCAAAGTTCGAATTTTCGAAAACCGTATAATTTTTACTTTTTTATTCATGGAGGAAATACGATAAATAAAGCCAATTTTGTATATTCATTTTGAAGCTCACACAATTCACTTCTATATATCTATATATAAGTGCCGTCGAAGACTTTCTCATTTTCAGAAATATTTAAGTTCAAATTCGGAATCATATAGTCAATTACATAATCCTATGTTAAATTTTTTTTAGATTAAAATAACAACAAATGTTATGGTTTTATGCTTTCAGACATTAGATGGATTTCTACTCAATATCTGAGAGTCCGGACACAATTATTAACCAATCGAAAACTTTAATTTTATTAAAACATTAGGCAAAACTGGAAGTTCTTATTGTTTACTAAAACAAAATTAAACACAAATATTATTTATGCAAAATTATTAAATAAAATTTTATTTTTTAAAATAAATGAAACCAAAAACATTGTAAGAACATATAGTAAATTTTTCGGTATACTTATTCCAATAAATCTATTATTTTTTTTGGTAACCTAATTCTTATCACTTATTGGTTTTACTCTATCCGACTGTCTGTCAGTCCGCCTGTCCGTGTGACTGTTTGCAAAACTTCTACATCCTTGAAGTTAGAATGATGAAACTTATTACTTTACTGGAAACTTATTTCCGTAGAAAAAAACTTTTAACTATCTCTCACTCCTCTTAAATTCTAGCATTATGTTTAGGCCTCTTTAAATTTTTTTTCGTTTTACACAAAGATTGCATACAATGATAATCCTAAACGTATGCAATCTGTAAAATAAATTCTTATATGACTGGAAGTAATTTTAATAATGTAATATTGTAGTACGTAACTAGATTGTTTTTAAAAGCAGTATTTTCATTTGTTGAAGGAAAAAGTGCTACATTACATAACAACATTTGTTTGACCCAACTTTATTGTAATTGGATTTTACTCATTCTTTTATATACTTCTTTTACATGATTTTAAAATTTTATACATAAAATACTAACAATATACGACAAATCATTTAAATGTGTAAAAGGTCTAAACTATAAAAAGCTTTAAATTACGCAATACGTGAATAATTGTTAAATTTACAAAAAAAAAAAAACTGGTTTTGGTTATAAAATTTATTAATAACATTTTGTTTTAAATTCTTCATTTCTTTCGTTATTCTCATAAGTATGTAAATAAACCAATTATTAAAAAAATTTTTGAACTTAGACCTAAATAATAGTAATCTTGTTTACTGCCACTTCATAATTTTTCATTTATATTAAAATCAGCTGTCATTTCAATTTATGTATTTGTTATTATCTACTTAAATAATTAATAAAACGAAAAAAAAAAATAATAATCTTTAAATGATATCAAAAATTTGAACTACTTGAGGGCCTAGAAAATTTTAATTTATATATATGTATGTATGTACATTTTTATAATAAATAGAACGCAAATTTATTGTAATCATTTTTTTTTATTATTTTCAATTGTCAATTATTTACAAAAATAAAACAAAAAACAAAAGTATAACCTCAACAAGAATTGCATTATACCTACATAATAATATTATGAGTAATTTATAAAGTAGAAGTGTTATATCAGACGATGAGACCACTTTTTAAATTAAATTAAACAATTGTATATGTAGTGTCTATTATTTACCTTTCATTTGTTATCACTTTTTATACTAAGTATTTTTATAAGCTTTTCTATTCGAATAATTTAAAAATATGATCTGATAAGATATTTTGATATAATTTTTATCAGCTTGTAGTAATCAAAAACAAATACTAGTTATATAGAAATGAAATGTGTTTAATACATATAGAAATAAAAATTTGTAAAATAATTGAAATACTTTTTCTAATTATTTTAAAATGAAAAAAACAAAACAAAAAAAAAATACTTCAAATATTTTTAAGTAAATAATTAAAATTTAAAACAATGACTTATTTATTAGTCACCCGCAATTTTTAAATTTATACTAAATTTTTAAGTAAAAAATACGTATATACGAGTATGTATGTATATGTATGTATCCATGTATAGATATTTAGGTAGATATAATATTATATTTCTTAATCACAATCAAACTTTTCGTAATTCAAAACAATTTACTGAATATCAATGATTATATACAGAGTAAGATTATCAATTTTCTATATTGATAAACTAAATGAATCAAATTGTGAATAATATAAAATTTGAAAGAAATTTGTTGAATTATTTGTTTTTCTATAAAATTTTGCTAAAATTTTCATATCAAAAACAAAAAAATTGCATATGTGACGGCGCTAAGAATTTTATCCTTAAAAATTTTTACATGATAAAATTTGATTTTAAAATAAATTTTGGATAGTTTTTAATTTTTAATTGAATATGCCTGTAATTTTTTTCTAAATGAATTAAAACGAAATTAAATATTTCTAAATATTTCATAAATCTCGTAAAAAAATTTTATAAGTAGAATTACGCATAACATTTATTGAATATCATTTACGATTATACTCGTATAACAGTAATATTCAAATAAATTAAAAAATTAAATATTTTTTAATTTATTAATAAATTTAATTTCATTTTAGCCAAATTAAAATTCAATTGCTTACGAAATAACATACACACAATTAAATTAAAACAATATTAACAAAAAAATGTTTGTTATTAGAAAATTTTCAATAATTTTTTCGAAAAAACTTCATTTACAAAAACAAAAAGCAGAATTCTAATACCATTTCTCTAAGAATTTACACGTTCTTAAAAGTGCAAAAGCTAATAGCTAAATGGCAATAATTATAATCAAATTTTAATTGAAGAATTTCATCAGACAAAAATTTTAATTTCAACAAAATTTTCATCTACTTTTTTTTTTATTTCCTTTTATATACATACATATATAATATACAAAATACATACTTATAATAGAATGCCTCTTTATTTATAATGTTTTGCTTTAAAAAAAAATTTTATTAGAAGTGTAAGTGTACTTATGTATGTTATATTTTTTTCTACATATTCTTCGTATTTTTGTAGAATAGCAATACCGCTGCGACTAAAAATTTGATATACATACTATTTTTTTTATTTTATTTTCACTATCAAAATAAAAAAAAAAATTATTTATTCATCATTTTATAATATGCTTAAAGAAAACGTGGTCTACATGTATATTTTTCATAATATACTCTTATATACTTATAAAAATGGAGAATAAAAATATTGTAAATAATAAATATTAAAGCTATTAAATTAACATAATATCGCTACCTGTATATATATATATATGTCTATACTTATAAAATATGTTTACAATATAGAACTTTTAAAGCTTAAATATATACATGTATGTACACATATATATTTATACAAATTATATATATAAAGAAATAATAATATAAAAATATATGAGAATTTTGAAAAACAAAAATAAAAAAAAAAAGTGAAAATATTTAAAATACATAAGAAAGCTAGAAACGAATGCGCAATTTGTTTTCGTCAAGAATTCATTTAAAAGCAGAGCAGAGAATTTTTAATTTCAGTTCAAGTTAAAACGTTAAAGTATTAACAAGTAAAATAACAGAGAAAGAAAATTTTCCTAAAAGGCAATTGATTGAAAACCAGAATTTTTGAAAAAGGCCGCTAGTGAAGCTTTTCCAAACTTGAAAACTAATTAACAAGAACTCTTTAATATTTAAACCAAATAAGAAAAATCTTACAAAAAAAAAAAAAAAACGTTTTTTGTTTTTCGTTTTAAAATTAAATTAATTAAATTATTATTGAGTGTGTTCTGCAAAAGAAAATAATTGAAAAACATTACAATAGAATTTACAATATAGTAAATACACAAGTGCCATCATACTCGAATAAAATAAATAAATATATTTATAATTAAAAATCATATTAATTTTAATAAAATACAAAAAAAAAAAAATACAAATATAAGATTAAATTTGAATTAGAATAAAATTGATAAAATATTAATAACTTGACAAATTAGTTAAAGTTAAAAAATAAATAAAATTCAGTAAATTCGTCCAAGAATTATTTATAAAATATAAAATAAAATAAAATAATCTAAAAATGTCTGCATCACCAATGGCAAGACAAGCATGGTCTCATGCACAAACTATTCCAACAAGAAAAGTTCTTGTAACTGATCCAGCTCAAATGCCAGAAGTTTACTCATCAACTCCTGGTGGTACATTATACTCAACTACTCCTGGAGGTGAGCATTGTTTTTCTATTATTTTCATTTAATATAATACAATACTATAGCTTTAATAATTTAAAATTTCTCAAATCTCAAGATAATACAAAATTACAATTAAATCTAATTACATCTATTTTTCATGAATTTAGAAGAAAGAAATTCAAAATATGATTTCTTATACAATATAATTATTGACATTATGTTGACAAATAATAAATAAATTAATTTTGTTATGCAATTACACTATTATGCTATTATAAATTTATTTCTTATACAAAATTTTCGTGGTGAATCTTTTTATTATTAGAAATTTAAAATAAAATAACAATGTTTATTTTTCATTATATGCGCGTACAACACAACATAGCATATAAATTATACTGTATATGACGACATTGTATATATTGTTGTATGTGTTCTGAAATTTTGAATATAAGAGTATATATACATATAGAAATTACTACATATTTTGTTGATATATACTATTTTTATTTATTTATTTATATTTTAATGACCCAAATTTTTCACTTTTAATTTTATTATATTTAATTTGTTAAATTTCTTTAAATTTACTTTTAAAGCTTCTAATTTATGTTGACTTTTATGATAAATCTAAAAAAGCAAAATTAAATTTTAGAATTTCGTATAATTTCAACTTTTAATGTTATATACTTATTTATATGTATAACAGATTCTGTAGTTGTGTGTTTACAAGTATAAAAATATCTAAGTTTGAAAAAAGAAAAATTTTAGTTATATTATAAATTAATTTTGTTATATACACCGTATTTTTACATATATAATTTATATACCCTTATACTATAATATGTATGAGATTAATTTATTTATTTTTATTTTCAGGTACTCGTTTAATATATGAACGCGCTTTTATGATGAACTTAAAAAGTTCACCATTAAGTCAAACCCCACCGAAAAATATACCACAATGTCTGATTAGAGGACAACCAAATATTCCAATTAAAAAATGTTTAGCAACCCCAGTTGCAAAATCACCACCAAAATCATCATCACCATCACATAATAAACATAATGATCATGATGATCTATTTGAAATGGAAATGTAAAACAGGATGGTTCTTAAAATATTATTATTATTATTAATTTAATTATTATTATTATAATTTAATTTTTTTTTATTATTATTTGCATATAATTTAAAATAATATTAAGAATACAAAATTATATAGTTATAAAAATTATATTGAGGTTTTAAAATGTTACATCAAGTACATATATATATATATATATATATATATATATATAATTGTTAAATAGAGATATTTAATTTTTCACCTACTTTAATTAAGTTCTCATATATGCAAAGCAAAAAACAAAAATTTAAATGAAATGTGAAAAAAAAAATTATCTTTTTTATATACTTTTAAAAATTTATTTAAAAGGTTGTGGTTTAATGAATTTTGTGATATTTTCACATCTCATTTATTTTCTTTTTTATGCTAACAAATTGAAACTTAATCATTTTTTAAATGAATAATTAAAATTCATACATCTATTGAAAATTTTTGAAAAATGTAAAACGTAAAATTTTTAAAAGAGCTAAGTCCTTAATTTTAATTTAAAATCGCTACAAAAAAAAAAGTCAATATTTAAATGTTGAAAAAAAAAATTATATTCAATATTACACTTTTTATTTTATATAAATTATTAAAATTATGATGCATTCATTATTGGCAATAATCTAGAACAGAGAAAATAAAGCAAATTCAAAAATAATTTAAAACTGCCATGATTGAAAATAAAAAAATAACATTAATTAAAAAAATTGTTTCATAAATATTTTTACATGTAATTATAAATATAATTAGTTTTTTATAATCCATATAGAGAAATAATTTATATAAAAAAGAAAAAAATATAATAAAAATCAAACAAAAATTTTTGGGAAAAAAATATATATATATATTTAATATGTACAAAATTATTTTATTTTTTTTTTTTGTTATAAATTTTAGTCATATTGACTATTCAAACATTGTACACGTAAAATGAATTAATAAATATATATACATATATATATAAGCTAATTATAAATAAAAATAAAAATTAAAAAAATAAAACCAAAAAAAAATTTTTTTTTTATAAAATTTAAACTAAAAACTTTTAATATGTCCGCGTTCCCTTTTTACAAGAAATAAAAATATTAAAACGGAAGAGAAAGGAAATAAAAAAAATAGAATTTCTCAGTTTAAACAAAAATTTGATAATACACAAAATTAATAAATAAAATATAATAAAATATAATAAAATAACTCGTACAAAATTAAATGCTGCGAATGTGATAAAATTTTATTTTTAATTCTTACACACATAATAATTACCATTTTAAACACAAACCATATAAAAACTAACATGTTATGCCATAAATAATTTTCAATTTATTAATAATATACAATTTTAATAAAAATATAACTAATTTAAAAAAAAAATTTAATATGCCATAAAATTATTCAAATAATATTAGAATTTTTATATCTAATTATCATCATCTCCAAAAATCAATTAGATTGATTAATTTTGGTCTTTATGCATTATTTAAATAATATTAAAAATTTCCATTTTAATCCTAATGAAATTTAAATGATTTTAAAAGAAATAAAAAGTTAAAATATAAAAGATTAATTATATAACAATTTAAAAATATTTAAAAAAATAATAATTTAAAAATTTATCGGGTAAATTTCATAAAATAAAATTTTTTTAAAAAGCAAAAATTATAAAAATTAAAAACTAAGAATAATTAAATCTTTTAAAATACTCGTTACAATAATTATCACTATATAAATGAACAATATGTATATATATTTAATTAAATTTATTGTACATGTATAATAATAATAATGAGACGTGCACATACATATATGTACATAAATACGTATAACAATGATTTAAAAAGAATTCAGAAATAAAGAGTAAATAGCTAGTTTAATTACAATAAAAAAAATATACTTTATATTATTAATATTAATATTCAATATTTATTTTCAAATTACATAATATTTTATACAACTAAAATTTACATTATAACTCTCATTTTTTTTGTTTGATTTTTAATTTTCCATATGTGATATTTCTGTAGTAAAAAATGTATTTTAATATAACAGAACATTAAATTTGAAAAACTTGTTAAAATCATATTGTATTTTTAATAATAAAATATTTAGATAATTATAATTAGCAAAAAATATGGAGTAAAGAAACTCTTTCAATGGAAACATTAAGTTGGTATTAAACTAAAAATAAAAAATACTGATTATTATAGGAGAAAATATTAAAAAATATATAAGTAAACATAAAGAAATTTAAATTTAAAGAAAATTTGAGATGTAAAATTATTATTTTAAAAAATTGAAATTTAAATATGCTTCTCAATATTTTTTGTTTTTTTTTTTTTAAAAAAGAACTGAATATTATGGATATTTTTACTATGTATATAGTAGGTATTCATAAATCGATCTAATAATTAATTTTTAAGTTAGTAAAACTATTATAATATATAACATGATATAACATATTGGACAAATAACCTAAATATATCTTTAAGAATTTATTATTAGTAAATTAAATGAAAATAAATTTTTAATTATAAGAAGAAAATATTTGTTTTACTGATTTGAGAGCTAGTGTTAAAACAAAAACTTAAAATGAAAATTTTCAAAGTTTGGAAACTTTACGGATTTAAAAACGCGAAAAATGTATACATGTACATAATAAATTTTTTTTACAAATTATTTCTCAGCAAATATTTACTATCGGAAGTTACTACATTATAATATAATATTAACTAAATTTTTGAATTCATTTATGAAGTAACCAACCAAAATATATTCGCTTATTGTATGGATTGAGTCAAATTCATAAAATTTAATTAAACCAAAACTTTAATAAACTGTGATCTATAGTCATTCTAAACTTTATTCCGCTACTGTTCGTTACATACTAGAATAATACTTAGACGGGATCAAAATTGAAAAAACTTTGAAAAGAGAAACAATGACGAACTTTCTCTCAAGAAGAAAAAAAATTCTCATTTAAAAAAACAATAACCCAGACGGAAAACTTGAAAAAACTTTTAAAAAACTTTGTCTGTGATAACGATTTACTGTGATAAACGTCAAATTTCAAAGTATTTATAAAACATAAACAAATATTTTTGGATTATACCAAAAACGAAAAATTTTGATTTTGGATTATAAAAGTGTGAAACTTAGAAAAACCCAGTTGTACAAACTACTGGTGCACTTTTAACTTCCTGTTTTAAGTTAAGCAAGTTAAAATATATGCCAGAATTCATATAACATATACACATTTTCAGGGCTATTCTGATTCGCGAAGCGAACAGTTTACTCGAATATTGTCAAAATAATATTACGATTCGCGAATGGTTAAATTCGCTAAGAAAAAGTCGTTGCTATCGAGATCTTCAAAAAGCGACACTTGAAGCTAATAAGAAAGTAAGTAAAGTTATTAATGTAGTTTTTGCCACAAAAAAAGTAGGTTAATGACGTTCATTAGGTGCTACATAAATATTAATTATTAAAAACGTTTTTTTTAATTGCATTTACCTATTTAGTATAATATTAAATACAATTGCAATACTGTACAAATGATTTTGCTATCCACCGTTTTGGTTCTGTTTTTTAAAACTAGAGAGCGTAATGATTTTACTACTTCACGTAGCAAGAATCTATGACGTTTTTGCTATGTCGAAATTACTAAATTTAATTAGACATTTTATGTCTCAAAATAAAAATTTGACAATCAGTTGTTTTGCTTTCTCGTCTGTGGTGTTCTTATTTCCTATTAATTTGGTAATACACATTTAGGTTTTTATTTTGCAAATCTATTAATATTTAAAAAAGAAAAATAATAAACCCATACATTAATTTTGCTTATGTTGCCACAGGATCCAAATTAAATAAACAATGCCAGAAGCAGAAGGTCGGAGCCCTATGGCTCGTTTCGCAAATTGCGTTAGTAATATGATTGACGGACCCATAACGTGGTTTCGTGGTCAGTAATTTTGTAGATTATTTCTAAACCCGAAATATTTTTTAATATTTATTTCAAATAAATAATGATAATGAAAAATTTTTGTAAGAATGTTACATAATTAACCTATAACAATATCTAAGTTCAGCAGTGTTGAATATTTAGCAAATATTGTTTCAATAATGTTAGTTTATATACAAACATATAAAAAAGAGAATTTTCAATTATTTATAGAAAGCGTTGTTGAGCCTAACCACAAACATTATCCATGGTATCACCAAAAGTTTAGACGTGTTCCAACTATTGACCAATGTTACACTGATGACATTGTATGCCAATTCGAAGCTGACCAGCAATTTCGTCGTGATAGAATGGTTGATAACGAAGTCCTAAATATTCTCAGACAAAGATTTGAAGATTGCATACTATATGAAAAACCAGATCATGAAGTTAAATGTAAAGACGTTTTGGAACAATATCAAAAGGCTCAAGAAAATTGGTTTATCAAATGTAAGTTTTTTTATAATTTGCATTATGTTTTCCAAATTATCAATTTGAATTTAATTGTTTTAAATTTGAAGATGGTGATCTTGGTGCCTATGGTAACGCCAGAAGCTGTTACATGAAACAAAAACATAGAATGATTTGGGAAAGACGTCATGGACCGGTTGGTTCCGGTATGAAAACTAGTGAGCACGACCATTGAAACGGTCAAGTATTGTAGTTAAACTCCGATATAAAATTTTATTTGCTGTAGCGAAAGTAAAAAATTAAAGAAAAATTAAAATCCGTGGTGATTTATAAATCAATATTTAAATCTTGGTAGAATATTTATTTATTTTCTAATTTGAATTTTGGGAGGCTGACAAGAAAGAATAAATCAATTAATATATCGCAATTTCATGGAAAAATGAATACAAACCTCGCAATTATATATAAATAATTTATTTGTAAAAATTTTTGCACTTAGAATGTTATACGGTATGAGTCAATATGTTGAACTAAGTAAAATATTAAATCAATTTAAGAAAATTTGAACATATTAAATATTGATCAGCAAATTGATACTAATGGTTTATCCATCAAACTCTTTTTAAGTTTGGTTAAGGCAGTTTTCATCTTTTCTTTGTTTCCATTCGATGATTTGTTTCCCAAAGGAATTATTGTCAGATCATGTAAACGACGCCTAAACTGTTTGTAGAATTGTAATACTTCAGGGTTTGCCCAAACTTGTTTGGAATCAAAATCTAAAATTCTTATGCTGTCCAAACTTTTTGCTCTACTCAGCGCAACATACGCTTGTCCAGCCTCAAATACTTTTGACAGTGACATCTCGACACAATCCAATGTTAATCCTTGACTTTTATGTATGGAAAAAGCCCAAGCAAGTTTAAGAGGGATTTGTTTTCTTGTAACTGTAACACCCGAAGGAGTTTTTACTACCCATTTTTCAGGTTTACACAAATACTCATTATTATTTTTGAAACGAACCACCGGTAAGCTTTTTTCAAATTTGCATACAACACCGCGAGCTCCGTTTACCAAACCTGCGGATAAATTAATGTTTTTTAAAAGCATTACTTGTGCTCCAATTTTCAATACTAAAGATGATGGCACTTGGATTTGTGAATCTAACATTTTCAACATCGATGGATCGCTATCTTCAGCTTTGAAATTCATTTCAGCACCTGTTAATAAATTTAGCTTCGATTGATTAATTGAATCGGAATCACTTGTGTGAGAACATAATTGCGTTGCCAAAATTCCATTTCCCTCAATCTTTTGTTTTGAAGTATTTAGCAAACATTTTGTAACTTCTTCAGTAACATGACCGATTCGAATGTGGTTAAGAATTTTAATGAACTCTGAATCAGTTTGTCTATGCACTTGTTTAAGTTCAAAAACAACCTGCACACATTTTGCCCACGATTCCGATTGAAAGCAAAATCGTTTATTATTTTGATTAACCGCTACTCCATTTACAAAGTCTCGTTTAATAACCGGAGGTAATTGAAGAAAATCTCCACAAAGAATAAGTTGTATACCTCCAAAGGGCTTGTCATTACGCCGAATGTAACGTGCTACAGCTTCAATTTTCTATAAAAAAAAAGATGGTATTGTTTTAAAATAGTTATAAATTAATAATAATCCATTACATCAAAATATTGGCAATCAACCATTGAAATTTCATCTATTATCAGCGTTTTACATTTTCTCCAATTCTGAGCGGAAACTGGTTTGGAAGCCATCTCATAACATCTTTGCAAACTAGCTTCTCCACTTCCAATTCCAGCAAACGAATGAAGAGTCACCCCACCTTAGGATTAAATTATAAAAATATGGATAAAATTATATTTCTTTTAAATTATACCGACTAAGCAAGCTGCAACACCAGTAGAAGCTGTGGCAATAGTTGAATCAGGTGGTAAGGAAGATATAATTTTCCGCAAAAGAAAACTTTTACCCGTACCTGCAGATCCTGTGAAAAATACACTTTTTCCACTTATACACATTTGTAAAACTTGTTTTTGTTCGTCAACTAAGGCCAAATTTTCCTCAGCCAAAGGTGAGGTCTGATAAAGTTTTTTAGCTATGGGACCTTTAGAAGCAATGTCTTTACTTGATTTTAACTCCTCGAATTTTCGCTTTTTTGTCAATGGTGGGGAAGGAGTAGTTAAACTTGATTTTGGTAATAATCCAGCCTTCTTTTTAGCCATTATCATTTCTGCACTTGTTACAGGACTAATTTCTTCAAATTTTGTAGGTTTACCTGATAATAATTGAGTTCGTAGATTTTTCTGGATGGTCGCTTCATCAAGATTTTCATTCCCAGATAGCTTGAAGAACATTATTTTTAAAAAATCTACTAAAGATGCCGGTGGAGCATTTGATATTAATAACACACATTTTTCTGCTTTGAAAGTGATACTAGCTTTTCCTTCAGTCATAAATTTTTTATGAACCAAAACATCTTTTAATTTCAATTTTATTATTTGATTTTTCTCATTGTTTATTTCAATATAAACCTCCCTCACTGAGTTTCTTATTAAGCGTAACGTGGCAATTCTATACGACACCTTTCTTCCAGTCACACCTGTTAGAACATCATTAGTCTGTTTTCAGAAAAATAAACCGAATTTAATTACCTGCGTCATTTCTCCACTCCAAAGTGCATGCACAAGTAACGACGGCATCATTTAAATCCATAACTTATGTATGTATTTATATATAAATACCATAAGACTAACTTTCCTAAAATTTGCCTAATTTTTAGAAGTAATATGGTCAAATGATAGTTAAAAAGAAGCATCAACTACAGTACTCCTAATGGTCCAGTGAATACACTTTTCAAATTACATACATACTTACTTGCCCAGTTAACAGATTGGCGCCTTTTTAAAAACGAATTTCAAATTAAATTGCCAACTTTCAAAATATTGTGCCTGACAGTTTGTGTAATAAAAAGAACAGAGTTGCAAACAAGAAAAAAATTAAACAATAACAATTCACAATATTAATTTCCTAATAAAGAAAACGTTTTCATCGGAAATAACACTAGTAAGAGTTCTATTTAGCTCTTCCCCATAATATTTCGAGTCGCATTGAGTTCGTCCGGATGCAGCACAACCAAAATGCACAAAAATTTACAATTTGCATTTTAAAAATGCCTTACACGGCAATAATGTGCACATTCCAAGAGTAACGGCCTCTTTCAAAAATAAGGCCATTTTCATACAAAAAAAAAAGCAAAACTGACTTTTTAACAAAATTAGTCTCTAATATCCCACTCTTCTCATTTGTTCCCCTTTCTTGTTATTAAATTAGAAAATCGAATAAAAAAATAAGAAATATGAAGAGAAAAAAATGGCATACTGTGATAAGGAGTAAATATTAAATCTAAAGTATGTACTTATACAGTTTTTTCTTTAATATTGTGATATGTATGTATATTTGATATGTATAAAAGAATGTTATAAAATAGAAAAAGGATGAATATAAATGAAACAATAAAAATATTCAAAATTCTTAATGTTAATTATAAATTACAGATAACAGGTATGAATTGTAAGTCTGTTATATTCCTTTTTGAAGAAAAATCACTGAAAATGATGACGTTATCATTTTCTGAATATTTAAAAATTTTTCAAGTTTTGTAAAGTAAAATTTAGTGTTTTAAAAACTTTTAGCTGTGAAAAGATCAAACGTATGTACATATTTTATAAAACTTTTAACCTTCTAGTTTACTTTTTTTTAAATTTAAATTTTTTTTTGTGTATTCAAGAAATTAACTATGTATGTTTATATAAATTACGTCAAGTTTCAAAATATTTATCGAACATAGACAATACGTACAAAAGAAGAACATATCTTTCCAATGAAAATTGTACATTTTTGTGCATTTTGCTAGTGCTGCACCCGAACGAACTCTATGCGACCTCAATATTCTTTCGTTTAAATAGCTTACTTGAAAAAAATGTTTTTTTTTATTTACTGCTCATACATTTATTGTTTGCTGGGTTGTTAAAAAAATTACGTTAACAAAATAAAATTTCTCATAAGTGTTCTGATAACAAGTTTTCCATTTTTAATACATACAGAGTAGGACTCATTAGTATCTTTTGTTACTTGCTTGCTTCTTTCCTCTAACAAAATTATAATATTTTTTCGGATTAAATTTATCATACAGCGGATGTTTTTGAACAATATATTTAAAATGTAAGTGTTCATAAATCAGTGCTAAAAAAGCTAAAAAATACCCTATGCCTAACACAACAAAAGAACTCCAGAATTTATTTAAATCCATTAATGCTTCTTGAGGTGCTTCAGCTTCGACTGGCAAATCTTCTATTACTTCTTTTAACCATTTAGTTAAAAGACCTAAAAAAAGTTAATTATTCAAAATTGCTAAGCAGCATTATTTTTTAGTTAATCGAACCTCCTTCCATTAATCTTCTAATATATTTGTCAACTCTTGGTTTAAGCGGAGAATTTTTCTCCATCCCAATTGAGACTGGCATTTTATACACACAACTTTTCATAATATGCAAGGCATCTGCATTTAAGTTTTCTTTCTCAGTTTTTTCATTTTTAGTATTTGATCTAAGGTATCTTAAAAAGTATCCATTATCAAAATAAGCAAAATCACCTTTAAGAATTCTTAAAGTCTGAAAATAATATATTTCAAAATAGACAAAAGCTTATTATTCTAAGACCTAGAATTTACTACTCCTTCTGTTGTTTCTACGTGTTCCAAATAATTTCCAATTTTTTGAACATATTCATCGAACGAATCCTGAAATAAAATTTTATTATTAAAACCCAATGCTCCGCATTTAATTCCGCTTTCAGACAACTCCCTTACACTGTCAACGGTAATTCTGGAATAATAATTTAGTAATTAATGGCTTATGCATAAGTTACGTTTTAAAAATATTTTGAGAAAATTATCTTATAAGAATCTTATTTTATTTCAATAAAATTTATTATATAAAATTATGTACCTTGATGGAGGATTTGCCAAAATTGCCGTAAAACTAGCTCTATAAGTGCAGGCTATAAGTAGACAATAAGTCCAATACCATCCTGCTAATACTCTTAAAGACCAGCTTTTAGGCATTTTTGATAATGATACTAAAAGTAACATACTATAAGTAAGGAGAAAGCAGTTGGATAAATCGTCGAAAGTATCTTTCAAAAAGGCGCTTTGTGCTTTTAACTTCAAATTCGAAATTTTTTTTGATTTTAATTGATTCCTGGTCGAAAATTTTAAATTTGATTTTTTTAAAGCTTTCAATTTCTCTTTATTAGAAGTTAATAATTTTGATCTGAATGTATATGAGTCGTTGTTAATAGTTAAAATTGGTTTTTTATATTTCTTTAAAATATTTTTGTTCAGAAGGGAAATATAATAAAAAATTAAGCCTATTAAAATTTGTGAACTTATAACGCATGCCCACATTTCACCACTGAAATTTTAAACTCATTTTATTAATATCCAGTTAGTTTCAATGAATTTGAAGTACCTAAAAGGTGCAAATAATGTTTTCCAAGAATTATCTGTTGATGATTCCGGTGTCAGAAATGTCAAACATTCAATTGAATGTGCTATACTAAAATCCATAATTTTTAAGTTGAAAAGATTCGCGTATAAGTTACCAATAACAAAATGTGCTCTTCCATAAACCTGAATTTAATAAAAAAAATATTAAGCTATTATAAAAATTTAGTGTAAAGATATTAATATCAAATATAACACAAAGGCTATTAGATAAAACAAGATAACCTATAAAAACAATTCTTTTAAGTTATTACAATTTCACCAGCCAGTCCAGTAAAAGATTCATTGGGAAGTTGTCGACCCCATTTTTCAATTTTTGAATCCGAAGTTTCATAAATTTTCATTTTGAAGTTCATTTTTTTCTGAATTGCGTTTAAAATGTTGTATTCAATTCCTTTATATGGCTTGGAGTTTGAAGTTTTGATAACCATCGGAAAGTGTTCGTACATTGCAGTTTTTAAACGGACACCTTTTAAATAAAACGTAGAATATAATAAACATTTAAATAAAATCTTAAATACATGTATACATACATATATAAGTACATAGATGATCTTTTAATATTATGCAATTTTTAAATAATTCAATTACCTTGTAAATTTGTAGTTTTGTCGTTAAAGAAATTAACATTTCTACGCTGCATTTTTCCGTATTTCCATCGGTTTAAAAGTTTTCCATAAAATGTTTCTCTTAAAATGATATTTGGATATGGGACTGTCAATAATTCAAACCACGTTGACATATTTTCAAATTTACGATCTCTTTCAATTTTTTTTATTAAAACACAAGATAATATTTTGTTCCATATATGTAACATTTCTGAATTTAATATACGATAATCATGCAACATTATGTAATTAGCCTTCGTATTTAGAATTCTATTCTCATGGATAAAGTTTAAAAAATGTTTAACAGAGTATCCGTCCTGTATTATTATTATTATTAAATCACAATTAGCTTTTTTGATTTCCTGAAGAACTTTAACTGTTATATAATTTGGAGATCGTAAATTTTCATCATTCAATATTTGAATTAAAAACATTTGTCGAGGTGTTTCCATTGCTTCATATATTTTTTTAGTAAACAATTTAGCATGAATCTTATCATGAATAATACAGTAACATCTATAAATTTTTGTATTTTGAATAATTTTATATAGTAAATTTTCTAATTCAATGAAGTAATTATATTTTGGTGTATCACTTTGAAATTTCGTTATAAAGTTCGGTATCTTAATAATTGGAGAGAGTCTGAAGAAAACAAAAAACTCAATTCTAACATCTACAAAATATTTACAAATTAAAATATTTTTCAATTATAAATAACTTACAATTCAACTCTATTAAATAATATACTACAAAAAATGATAGAAAAATAAGAAAACATGAATTTGTAGTGAATTTTATTTTTAGTGTTTTCAATTCAACTTTCGTTTTAAGAATACATAGATTCTTCGGAACATAAAAAACAATCAAATATTTAAATTGGAGACGTCAAAAGGAGAATGTTTAAAGTAATTGATAATATACTTATTTAAAATACATACATTGTTCATATTTAACAAAATGCAAAATATCTAAAAGTTATGTTGAAAATATTCACCAATTTTGCCATACATACATATGTACATTTTTTTTGAAATTTTGTATATTTTTCTTTCACATGCAATTTTTCAGTCGTTAATGTAATTTTTTATTACAGTGGTCCCTTCATTTACCATAGAAGAAATTTTTAATCAAATTGATCATCAAATTATGATTTAAGAATTTTGTACAGCTACCTACAAAAAGGTAAATTTTTATTTTGTTATAAATTACTACAGTATGATAGTTTGAAGAAGGTTTTCACGATAAGATATCTTAATTTTCTGGTTTTAGAAATAAAAAAGAGCGTTATTACTTTAGTTGATCATTGGCAGATAAAAACTGTTAATGTGAGGCACGTACATACTTGCGTACATATAAAGAGATGAATAATTTGATATGATAAAATTATTCCTATTTAGTAGGTGTAACTTTATCATACCGAATAATAGTATTATTCCTATTTATTTTTGAGCCAAGAACCAAATTTTCCGAATCTATGTGAACTTTTTCGAACGTGTTTCGCGCTCGTCGTCATTGCAGATTTAGAGGACACCTCAAACCATCTACAATCTACGACCTCAAAGAAAACGTTATTCCCAAAATGAGAGAACAAAAAGTAGAATTACTGTTATATATTAAACTAGTAAATGACACCTGCGAGACACGCCTTCCATCCAGATAAATAAATAATGCTTTTTCTATATTACCTTTTGTAAAACTATTATGCATTTTTAATTTTAATATATAATTAAGATCCTAATAAAAAATGCAAATTCAATTACTAGCAGTACTTGGAAATAGTACATATGTATGTAAATGTACGTAAACGTGAATCTGTAAGGATTTTTTGAAGGTTGTTCAACAATTTTAATATTATTTTAATATTTACAGATTTAATAGGCTTACCAAGGCAGTATATTATAGTTTTATATTACTAACGTGAATTGAATAAACTTATATTTCTATATCTAACAATTCTTCTTTTATTCAAATTTTATTCTTTGATAATATAAGCTCTTAAGATTAATTTTTGCTTTTTGAAGTTGGTTATTCTTAGTTAGGAATACTTGTTTTCCTGATTATATATACCTTATGACTTCCATTCTTGCTTTTATGATTTTTCTGCATACATATATACATATATGTTCATATTTTGTTATATTATTAAATTAGATTTCAATGAACTCCAATTTTCATTGCTTGTTTTTGTTGTTTTTTTCTGTGTTCTCTTATCTTGTCCTTCTTTGAAAGTTAATTTCTATTTTTTAAAGGTAAAGTTTTTCAGGAATTTTTTCAAATATACTTAAGCCGTTTGTTGCTCAGTGTTATAATGTTATTTTTTCGTTATAGATGCGTTTGAAATAAATATGGAACAACAAAATAATTCAAGTCTTTAATGTAGTAATGCAATATTTATTTACTACGTGTATCCCAAAGTAGATTGGATAAACTTTTGTAAGTTTAGAAAAAGATTTTTAAAAGAATCTTATATATTTGATTCGTATTATTTTAGTACTATAAGAACTGTCCATTCGTAAACACGCACATTTAAAACCGCTCAGAATGCTTTTTTTACTTTTTTTTTTAATTGAAATAATGCCTATCAAAATGATTTCGAGTTTTGACCTGAGTAATGATTCCAAAGTTTTACTTGATCAACGTCAAACTGGTAAATATAATATTAATTTAAGCATTAAAGATGTTTCCATAGTTGAAATAGGGGCAAACGATTTTGAAGATGTAAGTATATGTACAGATGTATGTATGTAATTATAATGAGTAATAGTTAGTCATAGCTGTGTAATTCAATGTTAAAAATCCCTAAAAATTTAAAACAAAAAATTAACTAATTTTATAAGTATTCAAGTAATGACGAATATTATTATTATGATGATGCGATGCTAACTATTAAACCATGGGCAATATTAACTAAACCAACAACTGCATCGAGTCTTACATCACATTCAACGTTATCGACTGCGACATATGATACCACAATAAAAGAAAATACTTCAGATAAACGTGAGTAAACATGTACCATTGGAACTCTACCAATTGATATTAACATACTGACATTCATTAGCTTTATTATCAGACCTACAAAATAGAACAGAAGCAGATCAAATAAAATTTGATGAGACAACATTCCTTAAACCAAATGATTCCCTTTTTGAATATACAAATAATTTTAAAAGCATGAATAAAGGTTTGAGATTTAAAGCTTCCCAAAGAGATCCTTTTGATTTTCCTCTTCATAAAATCCATAAACCAGATTCACGAATAATAAATTTTCGCCCATATTCAAAAACTATATCAAATAAAAGGAATGGAAAGCGATACAGTGGAAATTGTAAAAGTGCATCGGATAAAATTTTATGCCAAATAAGAAAAAGAATGAATTCTTTACTTATGTAAGGGTTTTTTTTTATTTAATATCTAATATTTTGTAGTAAAATGAAATATAATTATACGATATTGTGATATCATACTATATTTTACCTTCTCCAGGGAGAGATTGCTTGATTGGTTTGCAAAACGTGTTACACAAAACAATTCTAAAAAGTAATTGAATAATACAAATTTTCAATAATAAAATATTTTATTAATGGTAGTTATTGTATAAGGAAAATGTAAATGAGTAGAAATACAGCACTGATAAATTCAAGTACTTTTCTCTTATTTTAATTTACTTCAATAACAAATATTTAAAATCAATAACAAACATTCCTTGGAAAAGAGATTTTTAAAGATTTTCCATTATGTTACTAAATTTATCAATATATTCCATAATTTCATCTACTTTCTTTTCTCTTTGTGTCAAAATCAGTTCAACCTCCTGTTCAAAATTTGTCCAGTTTTGTAAGTTGCACTTTTGTAGCTTTTTGAGGTTCTGTGTCCCCATTTGAAGTTCAGATGATATAGCATTGTTAGATAATCTAATTTTTTCTAAACGAAGTTCTTGATTTCTTACGTTTTCTTCAATTTCATCTAACTTAATTGAAGAGGTTTTAACAGCTTGATTAAGTTGTTTATTAAGGTCTTCTATTTGACTGCTATACGTTTCCAATTTTGGTTTGAGTATATTATCATATTCCATGTGTAATAAATCAATATGTTGTTCTAGTTTTTGTATTTTATTTTCGATTCCTGTAACATCAGATATCAATTTTTGGGAAATTTTCTTCAATATAACTTCAATATTTTTTAAGTTTTCAAGCTCACAATCTTTAGCCAAACTAAATTCTTCAAATTGTGATAAATTGGAAAGTTTAATTTCAGTAAATAATTTATGTATATATGTATTTAATTTTGATATTAATATCGTTTTTCGATGGATCAAACGAGCTGAAGCAATTTGATTTTCACTGCCCTCTTCTTGCAGCTGTGATATGTTATCTTTTTTTACTTTAAGTTCGTTATTAAGCATATTCATCTAAAAAACATATAAATATGTATAAAAAAAAATATGGATTAATAATAAAAAAACAATATTTATTCTGTGACTTACTTGAACTAAAAGACTGTCTCTTTGTTTAACACTAAGTTTTTGGCTTTTTACTCTTAGTTCAATGTCTTTAAATTCTTCTTCATGTGATTTTATTGATTTTTCTTGCATTTCTATTTGAGATTCCAGATGCTTTATTTCGTCTGCATCACTTCTACATGATTTAACTAATGTTTCAAATTTTTTCGATTTTTGCTTAAAATCTGTGTCCAAGTGATTAAACTCTTCAAAATTTAATTGTATTTCATCGTATTCATTTTTTAAAGACTTTATTTCATCATCTAAATGAATTAGACTACTTAAGCCACAAGCTTTTTGTATCATTTCATTTGTTAATTTAATTTTTGCTTCTTCTAAAACGTTGTCTGAACCGTTATTCCATGCTGAAAAAGCTTGACGAATGAAACTGAGAGCAAAACTTTTGTCCGGAAAATCTTTATTTCCTGGAGCATATATATTTTCAAATTCTTCAATTTGATCATTTGTTTTGCCTTGAGGCATAAATGTAAGAAGCCAAGTAAATAACAAAATTATATTTGGAAATGTATGAGGGGCTGACGGTGTTTTTAGCCAAGATTTAGCTATCGTATGTGGATATCCGATTTCATTAAAAATCTTTGACATGCTTTCAACATAATCCCCACCAACACATAACCGATTTCCACCAATTACTTTTAAAAAATGATTTACTATAACAATAAATTGCTTTGTGGACATATTTTTGATGCCACCCTTCTCGAAAAAACTCTTCTCTAGAATTTTTGGCTCAATTTCTTTCAGATATTCATTAATTCTTATTGATTCAGAAATGATCCAATTTTTGTCCGTTGATCTTTCAGATGTTAATGAAATTTTATTTTGACGAGTAGGCGTTTTTAAACGTAAAGGTGTTCGTTGTGGCGTTGCACTTATACTTCTTTGAGGACGTGTGGTTGCAATGGATAATAAATTTTTCATTTGTGCTGAGGACTCACTTGAATTTCTGGAACCTGAATTCCTTGTATGTTCTGATCTTGTCGGTAATCTGCTAATTCTGAAAATAAATATGTAGTAAACAAAAATAAGTAATAATGCTATAGTTTTTTTAAAAATACATTAACCTTGTGGGTTTACTGGTTGAAGCTGAGCCAACTTGTTGAACCAGTTCCGATATTCTTCGAGGTTTTTGTGCCATCTCTTGAATAATTAATTAAAGTAAATGTTAGTTCCCTTTCAATTTTCTTTTTACAAATTAGTTTTACGTATATTTAGAAGAAATATATTTTAATCGAATTTTTTATCCAATATATTTTAAATTTATATATTAAAAATTTTTATCCAATATCCCAATTTTCTAAATAATAATTGTACACTCCTCTTTCTTGTATAATATTCAAAATTTAAAAAATAAGATAAGTTTTGCCGTTTTGTTTTAAATTTTGACATTTAAATTGAATAAATTTATATTTATTCACAATTTCATATTTTGTATATTTTATTCACAATAGAAAATATATGATTTTTGCTGCATCTATTATCGCTGAATTAATATTAAATCTGTATGGTATAAAATTTTAGTATGCAAGTATTATATAATACTTTTTAGTAAAAACTAAGAGAAAATGACGTCTGCAATTTCACTATGTTTCAAGTAAAATTTAATGTTTAAAAAAATTTTTTAAATTATAAAACTGTCAAAATATATCTTTTTCTTAGTTACGTTAGAAGGTTTAAAAAAAACTTTTAAAAAAAACTTTCAAAAATAAATTGTTTGGTGGATGAAATTGCAATAATTGAATTTAAAATTTGTTTTTCGTTTTTTCAACTTCTGACTTATTTTCTTTTTAATATTGGAACTTTTTTTCACTTGCGACAAGTGACGTCATTGTTTTTTCATTAAGTTTTTTCAAATTTTATATCATACAGGCCTATTTGCTGTGAGAGGTGTTTTTCCAATGCAAATTGTACATTTTTTGTTCTTTTTGTCCCGGACTAAGTGTAGGCGACTCGTCTATCATACATACACATGGGCCCTTATTATGATCTCAAATCTGTCGAATGAAAATTCTGTGTGACAAGCTTGGAAAAATGAAACCAAAAATCAAAATAATACATAAGTGTTTTTTTTTATTGGATATTATAGTATTTATAGTGATATAATGAAAAAATCTAAACTATCTGTAAAGTAAGTTCATAAAATTCTACAAATTATTGTAAACAATATTGATTGTTAAATATTAATTTAAGCGTGAAAAAAAACGAAACAAAAATAATTCGAGCATTTAAATAAATTAATGGACAACAACTCCGACATTGGTAAATAGGAAAATTCAATTGTTTTTGCGAAAGCACTTTTAACAATGTAAATATGTGTAGATTAATCTCTTTATTTTTGGTAGGTTTTCTGATGCGGTAGCAACATTTTGCATCTGGCGAATGGAAGCATTCGCCGATCATAATTTAAAATGTCACTCGATTCGCCTGGTCCGTTTGACTCGCATAGCCATTCGCTTCGCCGATCATAATAAGGGTAATAAAGTATTTATATAAAAATGAAATGCTTTGCTAGCGTGACAAATGTACTAAATCACCGTTTTCTGGTTTCCCTTCCAAATTTGAAATTTCTACATATGTAAGAACACGAGAATCGATAAATGATCCTTTCAGCTATATGATGCCTATATTATTTTATATTTTTTTTCCAAATGAAAATTAGCAATTGTACAAATTATACTTTTTATTTATACGTATTTTTTAACAATAATGTAAAATAATACAATCAAAATAAAAAAAAATTATTTCATAGATAATATTATTAAATGTTTTTGAATATTCCATAGATTATATAAAAAATATATATATGTATGTAACAAACAATTTTTTGAATTATGGAAAAAAAATTAATTAAAATGGAACATATTAATAAAAAATAATAATAATAAGAAAGTAATAGCATGTTTTTAAATGATCTTATATGTAATTATAATTAAAGGAATGCTTGAAAGTTAATTCATTGTTAAATATTTAAAATTGAGAATATACAATTAACTCAAATACACGCATTCAAATGAATCTATAAATACAAACGAATATTTCATACAAGATTGCAAATCTATATAAATCTAAGCAAAAATATATGCATTTTGTATATATATATACATATTTTCGTTAATATTCTGATTATTTCTTTAATCGGATTATTGTATTTTTATATTTTAATTATCGCCTTTTTTATAAAATTTACTTATTTCTTTTATATATATATATATGTATTGAGGTACAAAAAATACGACAAATGTACAATATTTATTTCTCATAATACATATTAAAATTATAAATTTATAAACATTACTAACAGATATAGTTTTAATGGTAAACTGTTTTTCTTGTTGTTAAAAACAAATTCACTCAATAATTTTTTATTTTTTGGCTAGTACCTACATATTTCATTCAAATAATTACAAGAAATTAAAAAAATATAAAAAAAAAAATGAAATGTTCTCTAATTTAAATTTTAAAAAAATTTTTAGGTTTTATGCAAAATTTATCACAATTTTAAAAATTCAATTATTTTGTGCACTTCCGCATTTATGAGTAAGATATTAACAATATAACATTGGAATTATTAGGTTACGATTTCAACGAATTTGAATTGAGGTGCAATAGAAATTACTTTAAAAATAAAAAAATTTCAGAATACTTAAGCATATAACTATAAAAACAATGTTTTTGGCACAGTTTTATTTTTTTTAACAGAAATTACAATTCAAAAAAGCCTCACAAAATCTTTTTTCAATTGCAAGAACAATGTAAATTAAATATTATGTATCTTTTTTTAAATTTCTTGTATTTACTAGAATTTAACTTTTTTATACTTTCCTTAAAAGTATTTATATAAGTGAAAACCAATTTTATGTGATTAAATATTCTAAAACAATATAAGATGTAAGCATATAATGCCATTTACATTTTTTGTTCTGATGTAAACATTTTGTGAAAAAATATTAAGTATTATTTTACATTTTACCAGTACTTATATAAAGAGAGATTATGTCCTAAGGTGTAGAAAAAAATACATTAACAATGAATGTTAAAATATTACAATAAAAATTGGAAACTTTTAACTTATTTTCTCCCGAATTTATTACAAAATAATTAACTGATTACTAAAATGATCCACTTTTTTTGATATACAAATTTCTATTATTTTAATTTTATTTATTCAAAATGTGAGATTATTTAATTTATTCCAATTATTAATTCATGTGTTTTTGTTTTTCATAAGTTTATAGATATTAGATTTATTTTAAAACAAATTTGATAACAGCAAACATAAGCATGTTTATTTGCTAAGTGTATATTTTAAAAATGTTTTTAGACATTGATGTTAATGATGTATAAAAAGTAGTTTTTATAATTTTTAAATAAGTTAAAAATTATTCAATTTTTATTATTTTCTAGTGATAAATTTTCTAAGGTAAGTAATGATTGGCGAAGAAATTCATATTGCGCTTTAGCATGTTTTATTTCCAGTTCAGCTAGTTCTGTTAAACTAAAAATGAAATTAAGTTACTTTAAAAATATATGTATATATAAAGTTTACCCCTTTTTGAAAGCTTGTACACGACGGTTCCGGAAACCAACAAGTTCTTCTTTTCCACATGCTGACATTTTTTCAAATTTCTCACAAGCCTGTGCTTGTGCATTTTCCGCCTACAAATATAATTAAATGAAATTGTTTTCTGTTAAATTTAAAACAAAGAAAGAACGACGTCTTTATTTCAAATTGATTTTACTGAGCTAAATACCTCTTGAACTTCCAAGGGCTGCATTTTATTTTAGATAAAAGATAAGCAATGAAAATTGAAGCAATTTTAAGTAAAAAATTTACAGAAAGAAAAATACATTAAGTTAAAATTAAAATTACCGCATGAACATCCTTATTTTTTGACCGCGCTTTTTCTAAATTACGATTAGCCGCTTCATAACTAGCTAAACAACGTAAACGCCGAACTAATAAAGCTTTTGCTGCATGACTATCTCTTTGATAATACCTCAATGTATCTCCTAATTTTAAATCTTGATCGCTTGAAACTCTAGCTTCCATGTTCTAGAAATTGGAATTTATGCAAATTTTTATCATTAAGAATATAAAAAAAATTACCTTTAATTTTTCAAAAACATCTGCTGTTCTTGCTACAAATGTTTCCATTGGTCCTTGCTCTAAAGTTGATAAAATCATTAATACGTTTGCAACTTTTTGATGGTCGTCAGCAACATCTTTGTGCTTATTTGTCATTCTTTCAGTTCGTACCGCGCCCTCTTTCAGATGTTGATGATATTCAGTTAAGAATTGTAGTTCGTTCTCAAAGAAATCATTCACATCTCGAACAGTCGCCCCAAGGTATAATTCATCTGTCGTTTTTCCCAAACTTTTAACAAATCCACCGAAAATATCCATTTTCCTGCGTGGCCTGGCACATAAGTCTTGATCATATTCGAGGAACACTTTTAAATGTTGATCATTTCGGAACACTGGATGCGATGCCAGTCTTGTTAAGAATACTTCATGCATCGCTACTGTTTTTTTGAAAGTAGCCAAATATTCTCTAAATCATGCGAATTTAATAATATATTTAATATTTCAATAAGCCTTCTATTTTACTTACGCTTCGAGTTCCAGTTTCATTTTCTTAAACTCCTCCTTCGTCATATTTCCTTCTCCTTCACCTAATCTCTGTAATTTTTCCCTTGATGCATCAAAATCGGGCCGAGGCGGACATGGTGGAATCTTTTCCCAATAAAAATAATAAGTGGTAATTGAAAAAGTCAAACAAAAATATCAACTTACGATATAACCAGCATAATCTTCATTTTCTTCAAATCTATCATGTAACCAAACAAATTCTTCATGCTGTCTGACCACATACATGTCAGGTTTTGTATATCCTGGCAATGAAGTTTTTGTATGGACTGTAAATTTTACTTTATCTTTTTCACTTAAAGCATCTGATATATCAACTAGTAAACAATTATCGGCTAGAGGAATCGATCCAATTGATTGGTTAGACGTAGTCGCAGGTAACGTAACAGGTGGTATTGGCGATGGTGGAGGTGTTGGAGTGGTCGGTTCGGAGGCACTACCTAATGGTAATTTTGTTAAAGGACCTTGTTTTTCGTTTAAATCCACATCAGATATCACATTTTCACCGTTCTCCTTTTCATGATCTATGAAATTTTCTAATGGGCCAGTTGTTTCTGGTTCATCAGTTCCATCCTTAAAAACATTCAAATAAATTTCAGTACAAATATATTGCTCTATTTACAGAGATAAGATAAATGAGAAAAGGATATGTCAAATGACGCCCCTTAATCATTTCATATTAATTAAGAGCTTCCCGTAACACTACATTTCCCCATCTAATTCTCAATATAATTTAAGTTTTCACTAGACTTACCATCATTTTTAATCGAAAATTTTATCTACAAATAATTTTATTTTATATTTAAGGCGATTAGTCAGCATTAAATGCAATAAATTCCTATTTAACGGGTATTCGCAAATACGATAATGAAAAATTCACATCAATAAAAAAAACTATGACGTTGTAATGTCAAAGTAGTCGATCATAAGACTTCAAAATAAGAATGGATTAATTTATATGAGAGGAACTGATAATTTAATGTACCATACGGTTGTTGTATTTACTAAAATTTCAAACTCAATATTTCTTAAAATGGGATTTAGCCATTTGTACATTGTCTCTCTAAGTTATATACGTTTATATAGGGTTTTTCACATATATAGGTGGCAAACAATTTCAGGGATGTTCAATTTCCAGAAAAAAATTGTTAAAGTGGGGGGGGAGGTGGGGGGCTGGGATGCAGATATACTCGTTTCCGAGCTACAGCCTATTTAAAAAAAAGATTTTTCTTGCATATAAATGAATGCTTATAACTTCGGAACCATACAACATAGAGCTGTCATTGGGAGCTTGTTTTACAGGTGATTGATTTTTCTTTATTTTTGATATTTAAAAATATGCGAAAGGTGCATTTTGTATACATTTTCCATATAATCTACATTCACGAATATTTTTTTAGTTTAGTTTGTATAATTTGAAATTTTTATGAAATGTACACACATGTATGTTATATAAGTTCATACAAACATATCATAACAATATTTAGATACATAGTTTTATATAAGATTTTGATAGCTAGAACAATTTTTTTTAATTTTTATTTCCATGCTTTCTATTCTATGCTTTACAATAAAAATTTTCAATTTATACTACTCAGCAGATGAATTTGAATAAATCTGACATTTGCTGAATATAGTTAATCGACAAATATTTTCAATTTTGTATTTTTTTTTGACAAATTCCGGGCTAGACCAATAATATTATTAATTGTGGCATATTTATATACATATTTGAGCAATAATGACTAAAGCTACAAATATATAATTTATAATAAATCGTGATATGAGCAACAACTCTCTTAATTTAATTTTAAGAGTTTTATTTTGTTTTGCGTAGTCAAATTCACTAATTAAATGTTTTTAATTTTATTGTTTAGCCAGTAAGAAGAAATCAATAAGCCTGTGTTTTACATTTAAATCAGCAAATTTGGAGAGTTTGGAGAGATCCATTTTGTTCGTTCCCTTAAAATACTCGTATCGAAAAACTTTTTTCTCTCTAGTTTAATTGATCAAAACGCTTAAAATAATATTTTCATAGAAACGTAAGTATAATATCTTAAAATTAAAGCTTTTTATTCCGCAATTTTTTTCTTCATTTAACAACATTTTTTTCAAATTTATTTTTGAAAAATAGTTTTGAATTTACGTTTGTTAAATGTAGACTAGTACATTATGGATATCGTTTTTTTTATTTAAATTTTTTGACTGATAAGATACTAAAATATTTTTTGTTATAGTAAAATGTAAAACTTTGATAACAAAAATATGAAATTTGCCGGTTATAGTGAATAGTGTGTACATAGTTGAAAAATAGTTAAAATTAGGAGTGAAGTTACAATAAAAATTATTCATTAAATTTTGTTATTCGGCTTTAAGGACTCATGTAACCTATAGTAATTAAAATATATTAGCTATTATAATATATAATGTTGCAGATATAGTTTATTTATGATTATGATTTGGTATAATAAAAACTTAATTAGAAAATTTTATGTGCAACACTAGCAACATTTTCAATACATAGTTTCCGTAATTTGTATCCACATGACTTTATTATTTTTTTTTTCAAAATCAAAGGTTAATACAAAACAATTAAAATATCAAATATTTAGTGTAGAAAATTACATGAGAAAGTAAAAAATTTAATTTCGAAAAATACGTAATAACCTTGAAATTTAGAAACAGGAGTAATTAATAATTTATACTGTTATAATAAATAAAAGGGTAAAACAAAAACGAGTATCGATTCAGGAAAAAAACTTAAAGGTGGGGAACAATTTTTTATACGATATTTTAATAATTTATTTTTAAAAAGATTAAAGTCAATATAAAGTTTAAACAATAAATAACTTTTTATTGATAGTAGCATTTTAGCATTTACGACGATACAAATTTCTTTTTTCCACAATTATACGAATTTTTCTTATACCAATAAAATAAATATCAACTGATATTTAATTTGTGAAAGAAGGCAATCTTGACTTTATTGGTACTTATCATAATAAACTATTTGAAAATATGAAATTAAATGGATTTGGATCGTATATATTTTGCATTGAATTATATAAGACTTTAAAAAATATAAAAGTGATTTTTATATAAGACTGGACTGTTGGCAAATTTGATTAAAATGTATGAAATAACAATCTTAAACTATAAAGCATTTAATAACAACATTCCTGAAGTTTTTTGTTTTCCACCTCACCTTAAAAAATCCACTGATACAATATGATATTTAACAAATATTTGAAAAAAATTATTTAATAATTGTATGAATAGTCACAATTCTTATATATATTCTTAAGGGTATATTGCACCTATGTATATTTAGTATGGTCTTGATATATTTATATATGAGCAATTAAGTATACGCAAGAAATATCGTTTTATCTATATTGATTGTAAACAAAAACCTTGTTTATCTATATCAAAAGTTTAAGTGATTCACTTTTTTGTCGAATACGATCTTTTGGTTGTTTGATTTGGATTTTAAATTTATTTTATAATCAACATTGCATAGTTTGTAAAAGATTATTTTTTTTTTGATTTAATGTAAAACTTTGAACATAAAACGTAAAAAAAATCGCTTTTGTGATAGATTAGATACTATTTTACGCCCTTGAATTAAATTAGCCTTTTTCAATTTTAAAGTTCGGTAATTGTTTATAGGGGTCTAAAGCCTTTGAATTCTTTAAAAATTAAAATATGTATGTGTATACAAAAATTTAAATAAAATTTAAAATAATTAAAAAAGTTTTGTAAGAAATAAGAAGCAAGCTGTTTTGTGGGCAGAGCGAAGAGACAAGTGCTTTTTATGTAAATCAAAACTATCGAAAATAATTTCATTTTTGTTTAAATATTATGGGAAAGATCTTAGAAATTGTGTATAATGGTTTATTTTTATTTCTTTTGTTTTTGACCACATTAATAAAAGCTTTAAATACTTCTTTTCAATTTTAGATACTACGAGTATACGAGTATGTAAGTTTCTTCGTATAAAAGCATAGTAAAAGAAAAATTTCCTTAATGTAAAACAATATTTCATTTATTAAGACAACGACGTAAATAAAACTTGGAAAAGATCAATGAAAATAATTATTTATTTTATAGAATTATCTTTCTTAGTTCTTTTTCAAATAATTAGGCCAATAAAGTAAATCAAAATTAAAAAAAAAACCATAAATATCGTAAATATAATATGTATGAATATTTACGCTACTAGTCATAATTCTACAGCCAAGAGTAGAATTGGAATAATCGTGTTAATTTTTATTGGATAACAAATAATATTTTATAAAAACGAAGAAAACTAATAAATATTCAAAAAAAAAAAATTTATTTTAATGAAAGAGCATTTTAAAATGTAATCATTAGTATATTATGTACATAGTTTCCTTTTTCGGTGAAGAAATTTATAATTCTCTACTTAATATTTTTTATTAAAAACGCAGTCATAACAACAGCTTTACTTATTCAGCAATATAAACTATATTAAAAATACATATTAATAATAAAAGATAGCAGATTGTTTTTACATTTCTATAAAATTTTGAAGAGTTTAGTTAAAAGTATGTATATTGCTGAATAGATAAATTTGATATGAAATACGTATACATTTTAAGTAGATTGTCTAAGATTCCCAGGTTTCAAAATTTTAATTAGACTTAATATATTTATATAAACGGCTCCAAATAGAATTATTCTATGTAGAATTACAATAAATATTTTTTCTGCTTCTGTGAATGCCGAAAAACCATGCACATGTAACTATAATTTTTTGTGTACCATGCTATAAATTTTTGTGTAACTATAAATTTGCACAAATATAAATAAAATTTTTGTTGTAAGTTGGAGAGACTTTCAAATCAATTGTGTTTCCAGAGACTAAGTTGCAATAATAATCACAAAACATTAAATTTTTGTTAAAAAGAGTTACAATATTTTCATAAAAACTGCATTGGTTTACTTTTCTTACATTTGAAAACATTGCTTTTTATAATATGGTGTTTATACATAATAATAAGGATATACTGAAATTTGGTAATACCAATTAGAAACAGTTTGTCTATTATTATAAGTGTAAATACACTGGAAGTGTTATTTACTTCGCAGTTGCATGTCGAGCATGTCGAGTTACAGTATAATAATTGCCTTTATTTTGGTAATTAAAAGGAGAAAATTGTAATTTTAAAATGTTTAAAAAATTAAAATAATTAAAATTTTTACCAGGGTGTTTTAAGAAAGTTTTTTGAAATATTTGTTTACGATATCTTTATTTATAACAAAGTGAGAAGTTTTTTTTGCTCTCGTGAAAACCTGTGCTCTTGGGATACAATAGTTTTATTCGGAACCGTAATTTAATTGTACTACAGCATGCTATTACATAATTTGGCAACTACAATATTCGTAAGCTACAAATTGTGTTTTGCTGCATATTCGAAGTAAAACGTTATTCCTATAGCAGTATTAACGATATATGTATCAAATTTTTTCTAGAACAATAAATTGTTCATTTTGATGAATTTCAAAATTTTTATGTAAATTTAATTTTTAATTTTGTTTCTAAATTTGTGAAACTAATTAGTTTGTTAAATTAAATCAATAATTTGTAGTAAATTTAAGAGATAAAAAAAATAATGCTTCGATATGTTTTGCGATTTCAAACTTTTTGATACGTTTTACGATATCATTTAAGTTTGTCTTTTATGTAGAACTACCTGCTATTTGTTCTTCAAATTTGATTGAAACAGAATTTATCACAATAATAGATGAAACTTCTTAAAATGAAATTCAAGAATCTTCTACGTGGTTATACAAAAAAATTAGAATTTTTGTATGCAATTGTAACTAATATGAATATAGCTTCTATTTTTATCCCGCTTCTATGTGTAAATATTTTACAAGAAAAAAAAAATAGACTTTGTTGTTTATGTTTTGGTATTAAAAATAAAATTCCCAAACAATAACATAAAATTAATTAAAAAAAAAACTACTTATTTATTTTCATTTTTCTAGAATAACTACACGAGAATTAAGGAAATGCCTGGAACTACATATTTTCAACATGTTATTATGAAAATGAAATAAAAATGATTGAAATTTCAATATAATATTCCTGAACCAGTTCGAAAATTATTGCAATTCAACCAAAGAATATTTATAATCAAGAATATTTATAATCATGTTCCAAACCGATTCATACACTTCTTTCTCTTATACACCAGAACTTGAAAGTACACAAAACCATGAAGAAACAATATATACAACAAGACCAAAACATGTTGATGTTCAAATTTGGATGTTTAAAGTATTTATACCTTTGTGTGCTGTAATAATAATTGTAGTGAATTTTGTTATTGTTGTCTCCAGTGGCCTTATATTACATAGAGGTATGGTTATAATTATAAATATGAAATTGGCAAAAGTAATTAAAATTTTGTTTGATAAAATTCATTTTAAATTAGCCTGCATTTAGGTGAACGTCCTATGCATAATTTCAATTGGAATAATTTTTAGAAATCTTATAAAAATTTAAATTATTTTAGGTACTCAGCAACCTCGAAGTACATATATTTTTCTGGGAAATGTCGCCTTAACTGATCTTCTTATGGGAATAACAGTTTTATTTGGACTTTATTATCCAGAAATGCACAGAACTGAAATGATATGCTGTGTCATACTCGGTAAATATATCATGGAAAGCATGTTTTTTTTTAAATGGTTGCGTCCAAATTGTTACGTAATTTTATTGTTCAAATAGCTAAAGTTTTCGAAGAGTTTTTATAAAAATTTTTAACTAATGATTGGGTTCAACAAAATTTTATTTATCATGGACTATTTTTAATTCATTTTTATTTTTGATTTTTCTCGATAGGCTTTACAGTTGCATCCACACTTGTCTCATTTTATAGCGTTGGTTTGATTGCAATTGATCGTTATCTCTATATTCTGTATGGTTTACAATATCAACGTTATATATCGCCTATGAGAGCAAGATTAATGATATTAACTACTTGGATTTTTGGATTAATTATTGGATTCTTACCTGCAATGGGATTTCGTAATAATACAAATGATGGTCAGCTCTGTTGGTTCGTTATTCTATTTACATCCGAAATAATATTTGTAACAGCATCTGCTGGCATAATTCCATTGATTTGGATTATTGTGTTATATAGTATAATATTGAAACATGCATTAAGGAAGATCAATGAATTAAAAAAGGCTGGAGAAAATATTGAAGGATTTCAAAGTGGAAATTTAAGATTGTTTCGGGGCGGAAATAGAAATTATACTGTATCCGTTTTAGAAGATGAAAGAGAAAACTTTGATGATACAAATTCAATTGATTCGAAAAATTCCGGTAGAAAGTATTTTGGATTATTTAGAAGGTAAATATCTTTAAGTACATTCTCTTAGCCATACATTAGCCATTCATTGCAAATAATTAAATCAACACTTTATAATTTTTGTTTTTAGAAAACATAAGAAAAAGTATACAAAAGAAAATTCAGTTTATAATCCAAGTAAATGGAAAGCAATCAAAATTGTTTTGTTTACAACTGGCAGTTTTTTTATAACTTGGTTCCCATTTTATATAGCATCAGTTTTATATGCTGTTTGTAATCCAGAAACTACACCACGATATTGTGATAATTTACGTGTTGCTCTTGCTAGCCCATTATATATATTGGGATTAACAAATAGTATTTTAAATCCAATAATATATGCTTGGTGGCATAATGGTTTCAGAAATTCACTTAAAAATATATGTTGTCGTAAAAAATTGTATAAATCGACATTGTTACATAAAGCTTCAACTAGAACTAGAACGTCTGCTCTGTCAACAAATAGTTCATTAAATAGAAATAATCATAGTATAAGAGTTGAAGAGAATAATTCTGAAATACAACAAATCGAAAATTCTAATGTTGTTGGTAATTCAAGTGGCATAACTTCTGGAAGTGAATTAGAAAGTTCAGATATAGAACAAGGAACATCAGCAATATTAAAATCAAGGAAAAAGCAAATTAATAGAAATGTAAATCACAATATGGTTTAATTAATTTGCATTAAAGGATATCAATGATATTGTCAATGTTGATAAAAATATATTTATGAGCAGTAAATTTAGTAAAACTTATAAATTTGATGAATAGATTAAGTACATACATACATATACATATTTAAGCATATTAGAGTCTCATAATTTTTAATTTATTACTCATTAATGTTTTCTTTTTGTTAATTTTTAACTTATATTTGATTTGTTAAAAATAAATTTGTAATATGACAAAATTTGTAGGTATTTTTTCAAATTCCACAAACTATGTAATTTTAAAACCGGTCTATGTACATATATCGGAGATTTCTTTATTCAGCAATTTGATCAACAATTTAAAATAAAGTATTAAATAGAAAATTAATTACATTACAGGACAAAAAGAAAGAAAAAGTAAAAAGATAATAGAACATATTTGAATTTTAAAAAGGTTTTTATTAGATAGTAAAGTACAATAAAAATATCATTTAAATTTTTTTTTAGAAATTCATCTCGAATGGTACATACATAAAATTTTAATGAAATTTTTTATTCCGAAATACTAGATAGTTTTCTGAAATAGAAGAAAAATGTTATTTGATGTAAATTTAATAATAATATTGAATTTTGTAATTTTATAAAATAAATTTTTATAATTTGATTAGGTACAAAATAAATGAACATTTTCGGATTCTTTCGACTATGTAATTTGTCTTTTTTATACTTAATTATAGATAGATTTTATTTCTAAATACTTGCAACTTCAAAATTTCTATAGTATTGTACTGATACGCAATTCAGCAATTATAACTATGCAACTATGAAGTTGGAATATATTTTATATTTTATCTTTATAAAGTATTCCAAATAACAATAATAGAATAGGAGCTATTGAATTAAAAATTTCATTATTTGTTCAAAAATTCACAAATAATGCATTTATGTACAGGTGTTTGATGTGTTAAATTATTAATTAAATATTAAATGATTCTTTATAATTAATTATTTTAGGGATAAGAATATGTGGTTAGTTTTTAATAAATAATATTTTATTTTTAGTTATGAAGGAGATTTAGTTTTTGTTTAACTTAAATGCATTAGGGTTATTAATACGATTACTAATAATGTTAATATAAAAAACCATTATTCTATTTGTAAAAATTTAAGTAAAATAAATTTTGTTATAGAGTAATATCGTTATTATATAAGCAATTTTATATTATGTTCCAGAATTGAAATAGATTTTTAATTTGACATCCCTCAAAATTTAATATAGAACTTACAATTTCATGTTTTAAGTACGTTAATTTCATTTTCCAAACTTTTTATTATTTCATCCTGCTGTTTTCTTAGTTGCTCATTCTTAAAAATTTTTTCTTCAAGAGATTTAATTATTTTTTCTTGATTTGTAATTTCAGTTTGTTTATTTACCAATGTTGAATAAATATTTTGGAATTCATCAGTTTTTATTAATATTTGATTATTTAGCTATATTCAATGAATAATACTTTATTATTATTTTTTATTAAAATTATATTATTATGATAAGTGTATACTATTCACACAATTATTAATTGTTATTAACGTATATTTTCAGTTATTATACCTCAAAATATAAATTGTCCATTTTATTTCGTGTATTAACTTCTTTTTGTTGTAAGGAATCAATTAATTCAGTGCGAATTTTTAATAATCTTTGATGCATTAAAATTGTCTCTTCGTGTTGTTTAATTCCAATTTTACATTTATTTAGTTCACATTTTAAATTTTCAATTTCATGATTTTTCGAAGACTCAGATTCGAGTAATCTTTTAAGCTATTTGGAAGAAAATTTAATTTTAGATTTTGGATAGGTCCATATAAAATGATAATTATATTTAGTTGAATTTTATTAATTTCAAATTAATTGCAATTGCAATTAATTTGAAATTAATAAAAATTAAGTTTCTATAAATTAAACCAAATGAAATTATCATGTTCTATTAGAATACTATATAGATATATCAAATTTTGTTTAGATTTTTTTACTCCATTCATGTTATCATTTAAAAGTAGTTGCATTCTATTATCAAAATTAAATATAATTAAATTTTTATCAGAAATAATTGTGCATCTTTTCAAATATTTCAAAAATTTTAAATAATTGATAACAAAACAAAATAAGGGAAATAAAGATTAAAATATGGAGGAATTTCTACATTAGGAACATTTTTTATAAAGGAAAATTTTATATGAATTGTTCATGGTATTCTATTTGCTAAAAATGATTTAAAAAGATGTTCTATTTTCTTTTGAAATAATGCTATGTTATTCTTGTAAATGGTGCAACGCAATGTTGCTATTAAATGTCTCTTTTGAATTAGATTTATTCTTAAATAAAAATTTTATAATAAATATTTCATAAATAATAATAGCATATATGGACCATTAAATTATTAGAAATGCGTATAATTTCCGAGCAATGTAAAATTTTGAACAATGAAATTTTGAATGAAATGTACTTAAAGTCAATTTCTTCAATTTTCTCCAAAAAATTTGTTTTGATAACTTTCTTGAATAATTCATAGAATCTCATAACTTTCAACATATACTACTCGTATGTATTAAGGAAAAGTCTGACTAAAAGTTTTGTGCCAAAACGTATGAATTTTAATTTTACTCTTGCTCTCCAATTTTATGATTACTATAATTAAGTTTCATCCTTTGTTTATAATTACGGAGATGAACTAAGTATTAAACGCTTTTTAAGTTTTGGTTAATTATAATAAATAATAGGCAATGGTAATATTTGGTATTTTTTCAAGGAATTAGTACAGCTATTGTTAGTATTTATTTTATGTACAACAACAGATAATTCTAAGCACAAATCAATTAAATTATTCTCCGAAAAAAAAATATTTTATTATAATTATATTTTAGATAAAATATATTAAATATAAATATTTAATTACTAGATAATAGAATGCAATGTTAAAATGAAAAAATTCATATAAAATTCGAGAATTTTATAAAATATTTTACAAATATTAAAATTATTGTAAATATTCTAGTACTTATATTTACAGTTTGTTTTTCGGAACATTGTTTATTTTTTGTGATTTCTTCAATTCTATCCTCTAAAATTTGGATTTCATGTCTTAAATTTAATTCATTATCTTTTTGATTTTTTTTCTCTTGTATAAATAAATCGGTTTTCTCTTTCAGTAATTGTTCTAATTCTAAATATTTTAATTTTTGGTCGTCTAATTGTTGTTTATAAGTAGGTTGGTTGTCACAAATTTCCTTGGATTTTTGAAGTTCGTTTATTATTCCGTCTTTAATTTTAATTCTACAAAAAAAGAATATTGGAAAAATATTAAACAAAGTAATATTCTACTAAAAATATGCGATTAATGCCAAATAAAATTATTTCATAAATTTATAAGAATGTAAATTAGTAACACTCACTCATGTTTTAATGATTTAATTGTTTCAAATACATTTTTATCACAACTGGAATTCTTTGACTCGATATCTTTGTCCTTTAAGCTTTTTTCCAACAACTGAATTTTTCCTTCATAAATTTCGACCTTTGTCCCAAACTATAAACATAAAAATGGAACAGAAAAAAGTACAATCTTTTAATATCAAAGTTGCATTAGACTCTATTGATACACAATTCAGATTATGAATAATAATTGTTGAGTAAGATGTAATGATGCAGTATTACTACAATTTTAAAGTTATACGCATATTTGCCTTACATTTTTTATTAATATTTCTTTATTAATAATTTCCGTTTGTTTTTCATTTAGTTTTTGAGAAAGTTCCTTGATTTGTACTTCATATTCATCAAGCGTTTTTGTGAATTTATTCTCAAAATCTTTAAGTTTTTGCTTGTACTCCTACAAAAAATATATTTTATATTAAGAGTTTCTGTTATACTTAAAATTTCAGCGTTTAAATAGATAATTTAAAGATTATAATATTATAGTAATCAATTATTAAAATTTTAATTTAAATGTAATTTTCTACTTTTGATGACACTGCAAATAAATTATTTTTAATTTATTTCCCAGTGTTCCATTTAGGGCTCTTAAAAATGGGCATTAATTTGTGAAATAATTTTAATATAATTATATACGTAATTACTTTGACAGACTCTTCTTTAATTTCTGTTGTTAAGTTTTCCTCAAGATTTCCAATAAAATCATTCATAGATTGAAAATTCATTTTAATATTGTGCTATAATTACAATAAAAAGTTTTGGTATATAATTGAAATGAGACTCATCAAAATATAGTTCTAAGAATTTTTTTAGATAAACTTAAAATAAAATTATAAATTGTAACCAACTTGTTCTTTGCATTGCAAATCTATTTGATTTACTGTGGAAATTATTTTTTGAAGAATATCTTGTAAACTTTTGAAATTGTATTGATGTCCTCCCTAAAAATATATAGCAAGTTTTGGAATATATTCTATTACAACTTTAATTTGAAAGCGGTCTTATTTAATTTCACTAGAGGTTTCAACTGCTCATGATCTCGTCCTATTGGAACTGCAAAACACTCTCAGTTGGAATTATATAAGAGACCATTTTTTATTAAAATATTTTAAGTTTTGAAAAAAAAATATATATAAATCATTTGAATGCAGTCACCTCAAAATCATTTGATGACAATTTTGAATGCAGTTCCTTAACATCTTTTGTTAAAATTTCACAATATTGAAAATTCTTTTCTATACTGCTCAATAATTGTTTTTTAATTTCTTCAGTTTCTTCAAAAATAATGCCAATAAATAGATATGAGTGTAATTTAACATGAGTTTAAATATTTTTATAGATAAAGATTTTTACAAAATGATAATAAATTAATTTCTAAGTTTTGAATATTTGCAAATACCTTCATTTTTAGGTTTACACAGATTTTTTAAAATTTCTTCTTCTGTTGAGGAAACTAAAAGTTTACCGTTCATTTGTATTAATCGGAAATTATGAGCATTTGTATCACCAGCGTTCTGTCTATTATCTTGAAGTTTTCCAACAATTTTAATAAATTCATCCTAAAATTAAGGGGATGAATAAAGTCATGTCCATTTAATATACAATTAAAAAGAAAATTAATTTTTAAAAATGATAACAAGTGATGGATGAACCTATGTAAGTATTCAATTGTAAGTTGCAATAAAGTAGGTTTACTCAATTTATCTTAAACAAGCTTAACTCTTAATAACTTACTTGACATTGAAGTAACCTTTTTTTGGAAACTTCAAATTTCTTATTCAGATCTATTGTTCGATCTAATTTTGAAAATTTCATTGAAGCTTGGGAAAAATTAAGAGGTTGATTTTTTGGTGGCAAATTTGTGGTTATTGATTTTTTTGTTGTAACTGTGAAAATGTATCAGAACAATTTACCTATATTTAATTTTTTATTTCTTTTAATTAATTTTAATTTACCATTTGTTAAAGGTGCGCAACTTTCACTTGGTTTGAAATTTTTATTCGTCATTTTCCGAATTGTAAATTTTTTATCGACTGGAGGTGTTAGATCAAAACGTTTCTGAAAAATTGATTTAGTAAGAAGCTAATTGCAGAAAAAAAAATATCCATATGTATGCAGATTGTACAAATTTACATATGTACATACATGCACTAATTTCACAGGGACTTACTTGATTTGCGGAATTACTTTTTAAACTTGAATTTTTAGCATTGCAATTTGAATCGAAGGGTTCTAAAATAAAACAATAAATGGTTAATAACTTTCTGTAAGTATGAATACTTCCTCTAAGCATTTATGTAGCTTGAAATTGTAGATTTAATATTTACGATTACTTAATTCGGGCGTGCCAATCATTGAACTCATATTTGATTATTAAATATTCTTTTACGTAAATTATTTATAAAAATTAGAATATAAACTATATAAAACAGCCAAAAAATTTATTTAAAATTAAAATTTTTATTTTTGTTATTGATGACGGATAATTAAAAATTTATACGATTAAATTTTCTAAAAATTAATTCTATAATAAGCAAATTAAAAAATTTTTCTGACAGTATTAAAATCAAAATTTAATTATTTAAATTTTTTTTTAATTTTCTAAATCATACAGAAAATTTTAGCGTGGAGCTTCAATGCTATGATATTATTAAATTTTTAAATAATAACGACGGTGACTTAAAGTAAGGTTCGTAAGCAATATAAAGGGATCAATAAAATTTCTTAAAAATTTTTAAACAATAGGTCTCCAGAATTTTTAATTTGATCATCTCAACATGAATTTTAAAATGTTTTAATGAGATGTGTGGCTTTACGAAATTCCATGATACAAAACTTCATTTTTAATATTAATGTTATTACAATCATTGTTAGAAAATTAGCTTGAATTAAGTAAAAAATATTTATTCTTCTTTATAATGAAAAATTGTACATTTCAAAATTTTTTATTTTGAGTTTAACATATTACTAGAACAGTTATATAAACATTATATTACAAAAGTTATAAAAGCATAATATACAAAATATATAACAAGATTAATTAAAAAATTAATTTTATATAAAATTAACTTTTAGTTAACTTTAAAATATTGTTTTTAACCTTTGAGGTAGCTGTGAAGTACATTTTTTTTTGCAATTTTTCTTATAAATATTTTTTAATAAACTCTTCGTCAATCTTATTCGCAATCATTTTTGCAATAGCAAGTGAACTGGTTGCGCCTGGGGAGGGTGCATTACGGCAATGTAAAACACGTTTCGCAACTGCACTTTCGCCAGAACCACGATCGAAAATGAAATCATCAACTAAATTGCCATCTGTGTCGAGTGCTTGTGCGCGAACACCAGCTGGCCCTCTTTGAATATCCAACTCTGTTACTTCCGGAATATATCGTTGTAAATCTTTAACTTGTAAATTAATAAACACAGATTTCAAAAATTCTCCGACACCAAATCGAACATTTTTAACAGCCATTTTTAAAAAGCCGGGATAACGTATTGCGTCAAACAGCTCTATTAAATTTATATCACTATACCTGTGGAACAAAATTTTAATTGAAATATTAATTAATAATTTAACTACTTCTTGTACCTATATCCTTCACGCTGGAATGCAAGAACTGCATTTGGTCCTAGCCAAACACTTCCATCCATTCGTGGTGTGAAGTGTACTCCTAAAAATGGATATCTAGGATCAGGAACCGGATAAATATTTCCTTTAACCATATGACATTTTTCAGGGGCAAGAAGCAAATATTCTCCACGGAAAGGAACTATACGAGGACTTTTCGGACATCCTGTTAATTCAGCCAGCAGATCAGATTGCAGACCACCACATGTTAAAACATAACGTGCTTTAATTTTTTGACCTCTATAACTTTCAACTGTTACAGGGTAATCAGCATTTGTAGGTGTTTCATAAAATTTATTTGCTTTAAAATTAACGAAAATTTCTCCACCACATTTTTTAAAATGCTGCGCATAGAAATTAGTCACAAGTTGCCAATCAACAATTCCTGTATGTGGTGACCATAATGCTTTGATACCTTTACAAAATGGTTCAATTTCTTGTATTTTATCTCCTTCGATTATTTTAATATCTGGGCAGTTGTTTTTCTGAGCTCTTTCATAGAGATCCTAAAAATATAGTAACAAAATTATAAAACAAAAAATAACGAAATGCATGATATCTATTCATGCAATTATTTCTGAACATATGCATATACATTTTCGTTATGGCACCGCATTTATTACAATTTATAGCTCAAGGTCGTTTTCTTTAATAAAAATATTTTGTAGGTGGTTCTTTAAAAAAATATTTTGCGAACCTAAAAATATAAATATCCGGTTTCGCTTACCATAAGTCTTGGAATTTCAGACGGTTCCGTTGCCACTATTAATTTGCCCAATTTTTTATAAGGTACGTTGTGTTCATCACAAAATTTATATGTTAAATGCAAACCTTCAACGCATAGCTTAGCCTTCAGAGATCCAGGTTTGTAATATATACCCGCGTGAATTACTCCACTGTTATGACCAGTTTGGTGCAATGCTAGTCTTGACTCTTTTTCAAGAATTGCAATTTTGAGTTTAGGATTTCTTAATAAAATTTCACGAGCTGAAGCTACGCCAACAATTCCTCCTCCAACTACGACTAGGTCATATTCGCTGCTGAAATTGTTAAAAATAAATTTAAAAAACGTTATACAACTGGCTTCTTTATAATTTAAAGCGAAAATAAGTGTTATTAAAATCAATATGCATGTATGTATATAGATATATAATAATGTATCTAGTAAGCAAATAAAACAGTAAAAGCATTGCCATAGGTTTTGCTCAATGTTTTTTTGAAATGATTGTTTTTTTAATAGACAATGAAGGTCAAAGTTGTCAATTACTGTTGCCGAATTATCTAATTTGTTATTTAGTCATGTTTTTATTAACATTACTTGTCGCTAAAAAAATTTATAAACTCACTTTGTATTTGAACCATGTTGATATCTTTTCGGATTTATTAAATATGGTACAAATGCTTTTATTGGAATTCTATTAAGTTTCTGCACTAATGCCATTGTTTTTCTTAAATACAACTTTTTATTTTTTTCTAGTTTGAAGCTATTGGCAGAAACACTTGTTATGCAACTCTCGTGACCTATTCCATCCACGCACTATTCAGAACTAGATAATATTAACATGTTTATTTGCTATTCTCTTTAAAATTTTGAAAACAAAACTCATTTATTGCGCATTCCCCAACACAAATTGTATAAGAGCACTTTAAATATTTCAGATAAGTAACAAAAATGAAAAAAAAAACAAAAAACTCGCATCAAATTAGCTTTCTCAATTTTTGTGTTAATTTAAATTTGTAAACAAAAATCATATGTAATTATTTTTAATTTTCAGTTTTGACATTTAAACTTTCAAACAATAAAATCCATCTAGAAGACATGGCGACATCTAACAGTTCAAGCAAAAATTTTTTCTCTACCGATAAAATAAATTCAGCCTATTAAAATGAAACGGCTTAATTTTAATATGCTGAATGGTATTTTTGTAGAAAGTGACCGTCAACCGAAAAATATAGTAATTAAATTCTTTGCAGTTTTTAACCATACTTTTATCGTGTGGACAAACCTGCAAAAGGAAAACTTAAAATTTCTAATCAATATTCAGACCCATCTAGTGAATATTAGTAAAACCAGTACTAAGAAAATAATTTTGTCTAAAAATAAAATTCGAAAAAAATAATTTTTCGAATTTGATGTTTTTTTTTTTTATTCTGAACATATATGCTCTTAGATGCTCGGTAGATGACTCTGAGCACTAATCTAAAAATTTAAATAGCGTGAATTCGAAATAAGTAAATAAATAAATATTACTGGAATTGATATAAACTCAAACAGCATTTAAAACCGTATTAACGACTCTTATATTTTAACACTCATTAAAATTAAGTTTTAATGATTAACAAATTTTATTATAAAATAAAACATAATTTTGTTTCAAAACTAAACCAACGGAATATATGTGTATGTCAAAAGATTCAACTTTAATGCATTCCATAACTTTTTGCGCATAACTTTCCATTTAAAAAATTTTAAAATATTCTAAGTTCATACATACCTACTTACATAAAATGTATGCATTTGCATAAATACAATTTCCCTTAAGTTTTCTATTCAAATTATTAGAAATTCCTTTAATCTCTAAAATTTTGATGGTCGGTTGTTCGGAAAAATAAATATGAAAAGCAAAAATTAAGAACTTTCACATTTTCTCTTTTCTATTTTTATTAATTTTGTAGAACCTTTTTAAAATATCAAATTATCAAATTATTATTCAAATGTAAATTTATCTGTATTTTATTTTTCTTATTTAAACATTAAATTGCTTAATTTGCCTTGATTGCTCTAATTAGGTACAAGTGTTTTTAAAGAGAAAAATGTACATCCAATAGTATTTTAATATCATGTAAGGTTTCTTTTTCAATAATATCATATTTTTTTTGTAAATATTTTTTTTTAAATTTTAAATCTACATTTACGCGGAGAACAATAAATTTTTGGAAAATTTTTTTACAAATTTTAATCAAACATTTAAAATTGTTTTTTTGTTATTTAACAAATTTATTTATTTACTACTACATATATGAATTGTAAATAATTAAAAATAACTAACAATATATTATATAACAAAAATGTAAAAAAAAAAAATAAAAAATTAATTTTATTATATAAAAAATAGATAGATTCAATGATTAAGAAAAAAAACACAAAATTTTTGCCAATTCAATTATTTTTAAATATTTACATTTATTTAAAAATAATAACTAATTAATAGCGAGCAAAAATTCCGAAAATTGCGATTAATTTCATAACTTAGAAATTGACAACACTTTTTTTAAAAACAATTACTGGAGGAACTGAAAGCTAGAATAATTTTTATTGGGTTCATTTAAATTTAACAAAATTTCACAATTTTAATATTCAACTACTACTTGTAAACTTTAGCATATTTTTGTTTTACTCTTTCAATTTATTTGTGTTCAACATGAGAATTAAAATTTCTTATTTACAACTTAATTTTCTAAGAATAAGTTATTTATGTAATTATTTCGATGGCATAAAAAGTTGTAAGAGAATTTTTTTATTTATATATAAAACAAAATCTACACATCATGTAGATCAAGGAACTCCACAAAAGTATTATCATATAAAAAGTTTCTTTGATTTTCTCATAAGAAAAGATTATTGTATTTTAAGATTATTTCTATTTTAAAGAAGATTTTGTTTGTTCTATTAAAGAGTTTAAAATGTTGGCAGTTGTACAGGATTCAAAGTTTTATACTTTTGTGCTTTTGTTATTAATAATTATGTTTTTTCCTTAATATCTATTTATGCGTTATTTTAACATTTAGACAGTTTTTTATTTAATGTAGTAGTTATTTTTAAAGTGATTGTATAAATGGGTTCCTTTTGTATTTTATATTATATTGAGAATTTGAAATAATGATGATGATTAATATTTATTAAATAATAAAACTTTAGACAGTTGGTTCATGAGGAGCAGGTAATTTATCCCAAGAAGGTTCAACACCCCAGATTTCTCGAGCATATTCAGCAATAGTACGATCGGATGAGAATTTACCACTTGATGCAATGTTATTAATGGACATTTCGAGCCATTTAGATTGATCCTTAAATTAAAAACAAAATTTTGATTAGTTTTTTATAACATACTAGAATAATAATAAAAACATACTTGATAAGTTTTTGAGACTAAGTCTTGTGCTTTTATATAGGCTTCATAATCAGCCAATAAATAATAATGATCGTATTTTAATAAAACATCAGCAATATTTCTAAATTCATTTGGATTTCCTGGACTAAAGAAACCACCTTGAATTTGATCAATACATTGTTTAATTTCTGGATTAGAATTATAGTAATCATATGCGTTATAGCCTTTCTTTTTCAATTCATTGACTTGTTCAACAGTCATGCCGAAAATGAAAATATTTTCATTACCCATTTCTTCAGCCATTTCTACATTAGCACCATCTAATGTACCAATAGTTAAGGCACCATTTAACTGGAATTTCATGTTACCAGTACCAGATGCTTCAGTACCAGCTGTTGAAATTTGTTCTGATAAATCAGCAGCAGGCATAATTTTTTCAGCTAAAGTTACACGATAATTTTCCAAGAAGACAACTTTAAGTTTATCTCCAACAATTGGATCATTATTAACAACATTGCCAATAGCACAAACTAATTTAATAATTTGCTTAGCCATATAGTAACCAGGAGCAGCTTTTCCACCAATCATTATTGTACGTGGTGTAAAGTTGGCTGTAGGATCTTTCTTAATTCTATTGTATAAAGTGATAATATGTAAGCAGTTCAACAATTGACGTTTGTATTCATGAATACGTTTTACTTGAATGTCAAACATTGAAGCTGGATTGACTTTGATTCCATATTCTTTTTCGAGAAGTGCAGTTAATTTCAATTTATTTTCTTGCTTCACTTTAGCTACAGCTCTTTGGAAAGTTGCATCTTTTGCCCATTTCTTAAGTGAAGCCAATTGTTCTAAATGAACAATCCAATCTTCACCAATTTTTTCACAAATCAAATCTGATAAACCTGGATTACATAACAATAACCAACGACGTGGAGTAATACCATTAGTTTTATTTTGGAATTTCTCTGGTGTCATTAGATAAAAGTCATGGAAGAGTTCATCTTTCAAAATTTGTGAATGAATGGCTGCAACACCATTGACAGCATGTGAACCAACAATTGATAATGTAGCCATATTGATACGTTTTTCACCATCTTCTTCAACGCATGACATACGTCTCATACGATCAAGGTCACCAGGGAATTTCTTTTTAACTTCTTCCAAATGTAAGAAATTAATATGATAAATGATTTGCAAGTGACGTGGTAAGATTGATTCTAACATTGAAACAGGCCATCTTTCTAAGGCCTCTGGTAGTACAGTGTGATTTGTGTAGGCGCAAGTTCTAGTTGTAATATCCCATGCTGTTTCCCAGGAAAGTTTTTCTTCATCAATTAAGATACGCATCAATTCTGGAATAGCTAGAGATGGATGCGTGTCATTTAATTGGATGGCAACTTTGTCTGGGAAATGTTTAAAATCAGTTCGGACAGCATCACGTGATCCAAATTTAGATGATTTGTAACGTCTTACAATATCATGAAGGGTTGCAGCAACCATGAAATATTCTTGTTTCAAGCGAAGCTCTTTACCCTCAAAGAAATTGTCATTGGGATATAAGACACGAGAAATATTTTCAGCCAAATTACGATCTAATACAGCTTGAATGTAATCACCATCGTTGACTAAAATATATATCATTAATAGCAATGTATTCTTAAAATAACAAAAATATTTGCACTAAGCGCAATTGAAAATATTTACTTACAGAATTTCAAGTTAAAATCAATTGGTGATTTAGCTGACCATAATCTCAATGTGTTAACAACATTATTACCATAACCAGGAATTGGATTATCGTATGGCATGGCATATACAATTTGACAGTCAACCCATTTTTTACCTTCAGGTGTATCAATGACACGTCCATAAAATTGAATTGGAATCATAAATTCTGGACGGGCTTTCTCCCATGGATTACCATAACGTAACCAATCATCAGGTTCTTCAACTTGTTCACCATTTTTGATTTTTTGGGCAAAAATACCATATTCATAACGAATACCGTAACCATAGGCTGCCATACCCAATGTAGCCATTGAATCTAAGAAACAAGCAGCTAAACGGCCTAAACCACCATTACCTAAGCCGGCATCTTCTTCAAGATCTTCTAATTCTTCAATATCAAGACCAATTTGATACATTGCTTCATCGCATGTACTTTGAATACCCAAATTAATCATTGTATTTTGAAGAGAACGTCCCATGTAGTATTCCAATGAAAGATAATAGACACGCTATTTAAGAATAAATAAAAAAATAAAATATACGTAATAATTTAATAGTATAAAATAATTAATATGATTGTCAAATTTCAAAATTTTTTTTTTAAATTGAAAGCTTTTTGTAAAAATTTGTAAATTGAATAGAAATTGATGACTAGAAATTTTCACTTAAGTTTTGTACTAGACATGCATATACATATATACACGATTAACCACATACATATACTTTTGAATAACATGAATGCACATATTATGACTTGCAGCTCCCAATTTAAATTTAATGTTGACTCAATTATTACGTAATTATTTTAAAAACGAAATCAGGTGTTTTTTTGCATTATGTTAAAAAAAATTAATTATGTAAAAAATAATCTTTTATTTCTTCTTACAAAAGAACAAATCTTCAAATATTTTATATGGGGCCATGCATTTATGATTTTATTATCTTATAAAATTTAGCCTGGAGAACAAGAACTACGTCGGAAAAATTAAAATGTTTTTCTTTATTTTTGTTTTGTAAAATTTAATAATAAATCATGGCAATATTCCAAAATTAAATTACGATGCATCATAAGTGATTTTCTTTTGTTTTAAAATCGATTTATTTTAAAAAAATTTTTGTACATTCCAAAATCTTAATGACATGATGTTTCTTAAGATGTGAAAACATTTTATGTACATACATACATTCGTACATGAACTGGAAAAATATTAATTGTAAAATTTTGGAACAAAACAAAATATTGCATGTAGGTCATAGAATGGTAACAATAATTAATTTGTCTAATTTGGTGATAATTGTTATACGAAGCGAAGGAATTTTAAAAAATTTATTTTAATAAGTACTGCTTGTAGTTTTTGGAAATTATTACAATTATACACATTTAAAAATGCAATCTATCAACACATGGTTCCTAAAATAGCAAATTTCCTTAAAATAATTTAATCATAAAAATAGCATAAGTATTGGCTAAATGATGTTCTATAGAAATAAATTCTTCTACTACGAAATATATCATGATTTGCATATACACATACATATTTAAATGATATAGACTGGAGTGATAGTTTAAGATAAAGTTGCAGTATAGTAAAGAAATTCAATTTGATTGAATGAGCCTCTACTTTCGAGTATCAAAATTATGTTCTAGAACAAAAAAAAAATTAATTATTTATCAACACAACTCTTAGAAAGTGGCTGGAAAGGGAAAGACAGTACCTAAGCAATTTCTTCTACATTACCTAGACTACTGTACCTACATTATCCTAGCTTTCTATTTTTGTAGGCTATAGAACAAACGAACAGATAGGTTAAAACTTAAAAGCATATTTTTTCCTGATTTTTTTTTTGGAAATGTGCTTAAGGATTATTTTAATTGTGTATATACATATATATATATGTATACATAAAATATGCAACCATATATGATTAATTTTAAATAAAATCAATGTTAAAGTTCAAAGTCACCATTAAAATAAAAATAAATGTGATAATAAAGAAATTTCTAAATTTGTATACACACATACACTATATACTAATATACATAATTTATTTACTTATTAAAAATTGAATTAATTTAGTTAGAATTTCTATATATGTAGGTATATAAAATTATATAATGCGTAAATTTTTATATAACATTTAATAAGAGAGCATTGATATTATCCTCCTCCTATTTTTTCCCTTGATTTTCTTACTTCAAATCTAAAAACTTTCAATATCGTCAATTTTTAGAGCTTTTACAATATATTTTAATTTATGTTAAATTGAAAAAAAAAAAAACAAAATCAAATAAACTTGTTGACCTTGCCATACTTTCGTTTTCGTTGCTAATTTGAATTGGTGCTAAATTTGTGTATCTATATATATATTCTTATTCTCATGCAAGTTTGTTTTTATTTACAAATTATCGTGAAAATTCAATAATAACATTAACATTGCAATTTTACACTATGTTATCATTGCAATTTCAGATTTAATTTAAAAATAAAATTTTTATTCCGCCTAGAGGATTATTTTATGTTTAAAATGATAATGAAGTGAAGGAGTCCAAGTACATACGAGTAGAATGAGAGAGGTGTAAATTATTCATTTTTTATATTGTGGATTCATGTACTAGTATTAATGCACTAATCAATAAGCATTTTATAATGCTACAGAATAGAAATTAATTTGACAATAAAGGAGAAATTCAATTTACCAAGGCTTAAAAATATTTGAAAGAAATTTTGGTAAAAAATTTAAGCTAAATGAGTAACATAATTATTGGCTCAACTAATTTGTAAAATACATACATACATACATACATATGTATATAAGATTTTGCTATTATTTCAAAATATTGCTAAACATTAAAAAAAACACATCAGCATTTGAATTTTAATTGACATTACTGTGAGCAGGTGTTCAAAGCCTCATCAAAATAATAGTTTTCTATTAAGTATGCATTTTGTAAATTTAAGTAAAAATTAATACTGTTTGCTTATTATAATTAATTTTTATTATAAATATTTCCTTTGTTAAATATATTATATTTGTATACCTAGAAATTTTGGTATAAGTAGGTATTTTTTTACATTTTGGCAAACAAAAGTTTTTCATATTATGGTCTATATGATGAAATATATTTTAATTTATGAATAAATTTAGAAAAATCAGAGAAAAAAAAATGCTTTTATTTTGTTCTTTTGGTGACTTTAAATAACCTTCTAATTTTTTTTTTTTATTAAAATCTGTTGTATGCCCATGGTAGTGTGAATGTGTTTGTTCATAATTATCTCTATGCATTTTTATTTATTATGACTATTCCCCCGGTATAAGTATCTTATATACATATGTACGTATATGTGTATCTTATATCATTGCATTTCAAAACGGTTAACAGTTTTCGCTTAACATTTTTAAAAATTTTAATGGTTAATAGTTTTCTATAAAAAAACATTTTTAAAAATTTAGGAAAATTTTCAATTAAAGCAACTGGTCAAATATCGAATGGTCCAAGATATAATCAAATTGGTTATTGTCGAATTTGATCTTGGTATAAATAAATTACTAATTTTTTTAATGGCAATATCTAAATGTACAATGCAGTTTGTTGACAACTTTCATTTTACATTATTTAATGAGAGTATATGAGTCCAACAAAATCAAGTAGTGAATTTTTTTTTTAAAAAATAAAGAAATAATAAAAAATATTAATTTTCATAATTTGAGATTAAACATACTCAATAACTAATATAAGTATGCATACTCAGAAACATAAGTAATCAAATTCGAATTTCAACAACATTAATAAAAAATAAAACATGTGGCAATACCGTCCTAAATTTATCATGAATTTAATCAGTGATTATGCCGGCGTACATATATGTATGTACATGTTTATGTACGATAAAAAACTTTAATAATTTTAAAAAGACATTCATTATTTTATGGGGCTTGGGCTGTATTTAATTCTTATTTTATTGTACTGAAGTTCTTACGGAACATCTTTAAAATGAAACAACGAAATAAAATGACAAAATTTATTAAATTGTTTGTATGTATAATATAAATTGATACGAAAATTTTCGGTCCTTATTGTTATAAAATATTTATTTAATTGTCTTTTCTATTTTATTCAAATTATTTGTTAATTTTATTTCTTAATATCGTTATCAAATGAGGTGCTGTAATAAATCAATAAATAGGTATCATTTAGCCAAATTTTACCGACATCATAGTTATGTAATTCTTTTAGAACCTTATACATTGTAATAAATTTATTGTATTGCAATGTAAGCGCCTTGATAAATAAATAAATTAGACAATAAATTGCCATACAAAACAATTTGAGCACATGGTATAATTTCTGAGCGATATTTCTTAATAGGTTCCAATAATGTAAGTATATAGAAATTTTATTTTTGAAAACGATGACGGGACACGTTTAGAATGTAACAACGAAATAAAATGATAAAAGAAATTAAAAAAAACACATGATTTTACTTTTCCTTACGTTATGACTTTAAGTAAATAAATTTTCATGAAAAAAGCAAAAAGAAAGAAAAAACAAAAATAATAAAGAAAAAAAAGAAAATGTTATAAAAATATCTTATTTTCATTTTATTTTATATTTGACCTTTATAGAGGACAAATAATAAATATTTAGTTTTTGATGTTGGTGATCATTATTCAAGTAGTAGTATTTTACTAATATAGTGTACTAGTGTATTTGTGAAAGGTATAGCGACACTGTCATTCTATCACCCATTATAGCATAAATTTTTGTGGTTAAATTTAATTTTTTTAATTAAGTACACATATTATCATGTACATTTATAATATTGTATGTAATATCATTGTGTAACATGTAAAATGATATAAAATGAAAATATAAACATAAATGAGAATCGCTCCGAATACCGAGACGGAATTCATGCAAAAAAAAATAAAAATTGTAAGAATTCACAATACTATAAATACTAGAACAGTTGTAACGGAAAAATAATTTTCTTAAACAATTACAATAATAATTATGCATACCTACTCGAACCTGTATGATTCATGTTAGAATGAATGTATGATTGATTACAGAGAACAAATTAAAATATTTTTAATAATGAAAGATCATTTAACTGCGGTGGCCTTTCATTAAAAATTTTTAATGGTTATACAAAAATAACTTGATATTGTTTTTGTTTACACGATCATGTATTTTTTTTTTTAATTTTTATTGTGGATTAATGAAAATTTTAGATTAAAATAAAATAAGCATGAACACAAGTTGATAATGAAAGTTTAAGATTTAATTTGTTGCATTCATGCATTCATGTATGTATATATATATATATATTGCAAAAATCATCATAAGTTTAATCTAAAAATTTTATGTTAATTAAGATTTCATTTATATGTTGATTAAATTCAAAAATTAAAAATTTAATTAATTTTGAATTTAATTGTTTTTTTGCTTAATACATTCTAAGTATAATATTATAAGTTACAAGATCAAAGTTTTATAATATGGGAT